CCATTACACAAGCTTGCAATTACTTATATATATATCTTAAGCTTGTGTAGTTGCTCTTGTAATTAGATAGCTTGTGTAGCTAGCTAATTACCTTCTTGCTTGTGTAGCATAGAAGTAGCTCCCTTGCGTGGCTAATTTGGTTTTAGTAACCTTGTTAGTCACATTGCTTAGTTTGTGTAGCTAAGTATTTGCGCTCTCTAATTAGGCATTGGTTGCCTTGTTATTGAGCATTGCTAGTGAGCTTAGTTAGCTTTGTGCTTTTGCTTACTAGCATGTGTAGGAGCTCCTTGTTACTTAAAGTACTAGTGGCATAGGTTTGTGTGACCTTGCTCCTAGAATTGTTTAGGAGAGCTCTAGCTATTGGCACCTTAGTTGCTTTATTAGTATCTTTGCAAGGTGCTAGTGAACATATATAGAGGGGTGTAGTCTTGGCTAGACCGATTGTTTTAATTCCGCATTTATATCGGTTAGCCGACGCGATTATTTGTAGAAAAGACTATTCACCCCCCCCTCTAGTCCGCCATCTCGACCCTTCAGGGTGCCATGGTGAGCACGTTCCACGAGACACAGAGCTTCACCTACAACAACGCAATCTACAAGTGCAACCTCCACGACCGTACGCCGGAGTGGTCTAGGGCGAGGGACATCGGTGATCAGACATTGTTCGTGTCTAAACATTTCAATAAAAGCTTCAGTGGAACATGTGTATCCAAGTACAAGGAGAACAAAATCTACATGTCTGAGCCATTGTATGGGGATCCATACGACTTGGTACATCGATTGGAGATCGTTGATATTGGTACCGGCGCATCCGAAGTGAAGCCCGTCTAGGAAAAGATACAGGGTTCCAAGGCTCTAGGTTGGATTCAACTCAATCTCTGAAAGGGAGGTACGTTGATGTTTTTCAAAGATTTATTACTTCAAATACTCATATTAGGGCAAGCGTGGTTGGGATGTTTTTCGCTTTTGCACACAAGCAGTGGCTAAAAGAATTCGATATATGCCACATTTAGTTAATTCAAACAAAACCTTAACTGACGTACATTATATGTACGAATGCAGCCAGTTCTCTCCTTTTATATTCAACTAGGTAGCGTGCACGTGCGTTGCTACGGGACAACTAAATCTTTTATACTAAAAACACACGGATCGCATGATAAGATAACAATACTGTTAAATTAAATACCGACGTTAAAATGACATTTAATTCAAAAAGCAAAGTTCGTGAAATTAACACAATCACAGAGAGCGCGGCGTCGCAGGCTCACAAACTCTACTGTATAGACTTTTTCGTGATATGGCTAAGATAATATTTTATATCGGCAGAAAGAATTCTCTGATATCCATTTCTTTCAAGCGCCAATAAATCCATGAATAAGTTTCGCTGCATCTCCATATAATCATGTACATACATGTTCGAGTATATATGTAAATATTAGTGTCTGTCACATGGATAATACTGCGTGTCTTAAAAAATCTCTCATAATATTTTAAAATAAAGTATGTTATACTCACCGTATAAATATGTGTGGCTTTAGGACTATTCCACATAGACATATATTGTAGAATAAGATATCCACTTGAGTGTCTGTTCCAAAATGTTGAATTAGGTGTTGTAATTCTTATTTTTGACACAATTTTCAGGTCAAGGCAAACAATGGTGACACTTTTCTTAGTGGTGCATAATTTTATGGTGCACCTCTTGACTATCTGAGTAAGGACAAGTTAGCACTGCAAAGGCTCAGAAAAGCTGCTGCGAAGGCCAAGGTTAAGTTTTCCTCCACTATGCATACTAAAATCTATGTTCCCGTTTATCATTGGCGATGCTTTTGATGTAAAACAATTCAACATTACCATGATCAGATATAAGTTTGAGTCTCTTATGAACAATCTCATAGAGGGACTCTCATCCTTTATGTGATCTGCCTCAAGAATATTGGCAGGACGATGGACCCATGTTGGAATGTCGCAACAAAAAATATTCACGTTTTGTCCACGATTTATTTCCCATGAATACATGCGGGTACTATGATAACACTAACTACACCAAATGAAAGATTAAAGAGAATTTGCATTACCTCCAGAAGAATTTATTTATTAAATTCTTTGGACTCTACAGGTAGTTTGAAATATCTGTTTGCATGTCTTATCTCGTATCTAATTCAAAATTTTGTAGTTTAATTAGAGTATTTAGGTGATATATATATATATATATAATATTCAATACAAGAATAATCTATGCATTATCTTCTTGAAAGATTTATGCAGTGTAAAGATATATTCGTTTTTCATGTATATCCGTGCTAACGCTATGGTAAAAACAAAAGGACAATATATCAATTAAAAAAATAAAAACAAAACTCATGCTTAAAGTCAAAGAGATAAATTATGGATGCTTGAATTTTGTCATCATTATCTACCGGTAAAATAGACTGAATAAACAATTAAATATAGATAGAAAACTAAATTAATGAAAGGTTCATTGTAAGACATCAATTATCTCATAGCTTCGGACAATATCGCAAAGATACTAAAAACTATAATCGTGCCCTCACCTTAAACATTGTCTAGATAAATGGATTACAATGAAAAAAATGGATATTGAAGATTTCTTCCTGCCAATATAAAACATTATCTTAGCCGCATCACGAAAATGTCTATAAAGTATAGTTTGTGAGCCTACGACACTGCACTCCGTGACTTTATTAAATTCATAAACTTTGTTTTTTTAATAAAATGTTACTTTAACATTGGTATTTAATTTTTACAGTATTGTTATCTTATCGTACGATCCGTGTGTTTTTAGTATAAATTATTAGTTATCTCGTACCGACGTACGGACACGCTATGGCCACGTTTAGTTGGTCACCAAGTTGGCGCCGACTGATTTCGCGAAGCACTGTAGCTATAACTTGTTCGTTTTTATTTGTGATAGTTGTCCAAACATTGACTAATTAGGCTCAAAACGTTCGTCTTGTAAAGTATAACCAAATTGTGCAATTAGTTTTTTATTTCGTCAACATTTAGTACTCCATGCATGTACCACAAATTTGATGTGACGAGGAATTTTCTTTTTTATAGTGTTAAAGTTGGTATTTTCGATAAACTAAACAGGGCCTATATTAACATTTGTACAGCGTTGCCAACGGCTCGGACGCTCGGTGTTTAGGCAGTCCAACCGGATCCAATACGGCGCACGGCGCACGCACTCGGCCTGCCGTCTCACTCCCTTCCGGCCTGCAGGCGCACTTCTCTCTCCCGCTCTCCCGCCGCCGCCCTCGTCGACTCCCTGCGGTGGAGCGAGATCCATACATCCCCAGGATTGGCTTCTTCTTCTACTGGTAAGGAATCCCTAGCCTAGCTGTCTAAGTCTCGCTTGGATGGGCTGTTCATGCTGTCCTCTAATCAGGATCTTCCTTTGTGGGATTGGGATAGTCTCGCTCCAACATCCGAACCCATAATCACGGTGTTCCTTTTTGCGATTGGGATAGCTGCTTCAACATCCGAACCCATCCAGTTTATTTGGGATTCATGTGCCGCGGGGGGTCTGTTGCAACGGAAGCCCCATCGCCACCGCTGCAGGCCTGCAGTGTTGCTAGGAGCCATGTAGTGGGCTGTGTGACCCTGTAGGAGGTAGGATAGTGGTGACGAGTGACGAGCGATTGGCTAGCGCTAGGTCCAGGTGACCTCCATATGATATCTTTCTTGCTTCCTGCAAGTCGTTTTTGTACCTTTCAGTTAGGCTAGATGTGGTCCGTCTCACACCCAAGTGGGATTTCCTGACCGGACTGTCCCTGAACGTGTATTTATGCTCCCTTCACTCTTATTCAAGGACTCCTCACTGAGTGTACTATTTAACTGAACAAAGGCACAAAGCATTGTTTCCACTGTACCATTAAATCTCAACCCAACAGAATGTAGTTTCAGTCGATTTTGCAACATGAAGTTTTTCAAGAGACACATTGACTCGACATTGGGGGAAAAGAAAATACTAGGTATAAAACCATGGTTGGACGCAAAAATTCCTTGTCAGATCATCGATGCTTTGAAAAGTAATGTGACTTGCTAATTACTCGCTCATCATTGCGAAGGAAGATGAAAATTATCTTCAGATGCACCACATTTTCATTTATTTTTCCTTGTTTAGGGCTTTAGGCTAAGTATAGTTATAACTGTTCGGAATGTTATTTGCATCCTGTAAATCTGTCGCATCAGTAATTTTTACTATCAGCAAGAGGCCTTAGCATGACCCTTCCTTACTGTTTGTTAACTGAAGTCTTTTGCTCATATATCAACCACATTATTGCGATGCATTCTTCCAATTCCCACTTCATCCGCTTGAAGTAGTCGATATTTTGTGGTTATTCGCCAACCTTTCAATCCTCAATACTGTGAATGCTTGCTCACCCTTCATGTTAATTAGTTAGGTCAGCCTGAGCCTGCACTCATTCATTTTGGAAAACTATCTATTTCAGTGCTCAGTAATTTTTTGTTCTCTTCATGAAAAGAATGCCATCATCAGTATACTGAAAATCCTTGGTGTAATACACAATATTTTAATTCCCTAAACAAGGGTCACATATACCTAATACCTTCATACTAATGCATCGTTAATAACATCATCCAACGCCTACCTTGCAATGCTCCTTGCCCCCATATCTTCTCAAAAGATGACATGATCAATGATCAACTTAGAGGGTTGTAGTCTAGCATTAGTCTGTTTGACTGTTTTCCTTGCTATGCTGCATAGTATGTTATATCTGTGATTCAGTGGACTTCATGGAGATATCATTTCATTGTGTTGTGTGCTGACATTGGCATGCTTTGTTATTCTTCTGCTATTCTTCACCAAGGATGTTACATCAGCTTTCTTCATTACTGAGTCCATACCTAATTTTTACTCTCTGCAATTAATCCTTTTGCCCTTGTTTTTAATGATCCTTTTTCAGTACAGCACATTTTTTGTGTGGCTGCAAAGTTCTTAATTCTAAAGGAGCAAGATGGAGGTTATTGTCATCATCTCAGTTGTCATTCTTTTGGCACTAGGAGCTCTCTTTGTGATCCCGAAGTCACAAAATAAAGGTACAAGTTGCATAGTTTATTGTAGTAGCTTGACCTAGCTGTATCTGAGCAACTCTTGAATTCCAGGTAAATCAAAGGGAACAGATTCAGGAGCTGGAATGGTAAACTCCTCAATTTTAGTTGGCTAGTTTTCTTGAGCCTACAAATGCATGCTACAAGACAATTTTTTCTCAGATTTGCACCATAATACTTGTAATATTTTAGACAGCTTGAAGAGATACATACCTTTTTTTCTTGTCTATCTACATTCAGACATCTAGGAGCTTTACGAAGGAAGAGATCTCTAAACATAACACAAGGAAGGATTGTTGGATCATCATCAAGGACAAGGTTGTATAAATGCAGTGGTCACCTCAGTTTGTCCCTATTCAATGCCCTAGACTTAAACATAGGGAGATTCAAATATTTTGGTCTTCTAAATTTATCTTTGGTGGTTGAACCAGGTCTATGATGTCACTCCTTATGTGGAGGAACATCCAGGTGGAGATGCCATTCTAAATAATGCTGGTGGTGATTCCACGGAGGGTTTTTTTGGGTTTGTAACTTCTTATATTGCTTCTTATACCTCGTAGCATTTTGTCATTGGTTCAGCACTTCAGTGCCTTTCATGGAATTGTTTCTTCAGAAATTAGAAATTAGCACTTCAGGGTGGCATTGATTTTAACTATTCGTCATGTGAAAGTTATGGTGATCTAGTGGACCAAATTAGTGAAGATTTAGCAACATTATTTTAGTTTTTTTCCCTACTACAAACAATATTCCATGAAGACTTAGCACCATTTTAGATATTCTGTAAAAAAAACATTCGAAAGGAAATGAAAAAAAAGACAATGACAGTATGGCTGTAATGATAGGCAAAAATGGTCAGTTTTTTTTTTATTTCCCATGCTGCCTATCCAGGTATTGCTACTGCTAACGTTTTCTACGGAAATACTATACACAATCAATAATTCCATTATACACAATCAATAATTCCATAAGGCCCTGTTTGGTTTCCAGGAATTGAGAAGATTTGAAAAATAATCTAATAATGAAACGAGAAGCACTTTCTAGATATTGATTTCAATTCATGGGATAAAGTTGTTAGATGCTATTGTAAAGCTTGTCTTATTATTGTTTGTTTTGTTTGCTCTAGAGTAGAATTCATGTTAAATTACACTAGAATGATAAATCAGCTCAAACCTGTTTTCATTTTGAGCTGAGATCCCAGTGTTATGTCCAAATTAAATTGTTTTGCATTGGCTTCTGCAAATGAGATCCTTATTTAGCTCACTCTGTTATCTGCACACCTAGCACTACTAATTCCAAGATAGTTATGTAATGAAATGGTGATATTGATGGAGCATGTCTTTCTTACCTTTCCTTTTCCTGAAGTGGCATACGTCATAATACGCCTTTGCTAGCGTCACTTTAATGCGTCTGCATGAATGGACTCAATCTCTGTTTAGTTTCTGTTTTCCTTCCTCAGCTCCATGACATTCTTCTATCTGGATGCACAGGCCACAGCACGGCACTAGGGTCTTCGATATCATTGAGGATTTCTGCATCGGTCAGTTGAAGGCTTCATGATCATGACATAGGGTAGCTTGTACTGAATTCATGGGATTTTTCGGATATCAATTTTGAAGAAGCTACATATTATCCATGTTTGAGCATTGCAACTGTCAAGCATTAACGATGTCAGTGTAATTGTTCTGCAATTGTTATCAGGGCTGCCCTGAGCTGTGATGTAGCAGTTCGTTTTTATTCTGTTGGGGCAATGTCAGCATCAGTTCGACGACAGCTTGTTGTGTTTGTACATTTCTGTTGTTGGAGAAGACTCTGAAACGCTTGTAATTGTTTTGGTTAAATCAGAACCCTTTTCTCATGATCACTTCTGAAGTGATGTTATGCTGAAGATGTTACGAGTTTGATTTTAACTTGGCTGTTGAATGCGTTTTTAAGATTTGTCGTGCTCTAAGGTATTGGTGGTGTACAAACATGATAGTGAAACGATATCAAGAGAAGATGATTTCTGAGATTGAACTGATTGCTCCGTAAGTAGATTCTAACTTTTATCTTGCTGACTGAAATCAACGAAACCCAACCCAGCAAGTTGAGAACTGACCCCAAAAAAGGGAAAGAGAGAGAAAAAAAAGCGAAAGGTAATGAAACAAGAAATGCTATTCAGATATCCTACAAGCTTTGCTGCCTTCTGCTACTGCACAGTTCTTAGGGAGAGGCTGCACAGTTCCTTAGGGAGAGGCTCCTCTGCTCCTCCGAGACGAGGACACAGGGCTGCTGCCGATCAGAGTATGCTCTTCTCCTCATGGATAGTAGAGGCTTGGCATTGCGGTGTCAATTTCAAAGTTCTGGTCGAATCCAAAGCACTCGAGAGACATGAATTCGTCGTCGAGCACCGGCAGGGGCGCAGCCGACGAGACGGCGGCGAAGGCCGATGACACCACCTCCTGGAGATCCGAGGCCCAGTCCCTGTAGCCGGGCACCGGGCACGGCGAGACGCCCTGGTGCAGGCATCCGTTGGAGTCGGAGCCGACGGGCGACGCGAGCGACCACGGGGACGAGGCGCCCCGCACGGGGCAGCTCTCGGGCGTCATGGGCGGGAGCGCCGCGGCGGCGCCGATGGCGGCGGCGTCCGCGGTGGTGGTGGTGGCCACCGTGAGGCGCGCGGAGAGGCCCTGCAGCGCGGCCTGCGCGTGCGGGTTGTGCTGCTGCTGCGCCCACTTGGCGCTGCCGGAGCCGCCGCCGGGCCTGCAGATGTGCTCGCCGTGGTAGACGACGTCGAAGAGCGCGGGGTGGTCGTCGGTGCGCTGCACCTGCTTGGTGGCCGGGCAGTTCTGCGAGTTGCGGTGCGTGCAGCGGTAGTAGGCCCGCGGGTGCTTGGCGCCGAGGATGTCCTTCTGGCCGTACTTGCGCCAGCTGTGGCCGTCGTCGGCGGGGCCCTCGGCGCCGCCGCCCGCGGCGCTGACGCGCACCTGCTGGCTGGTCCAGCGCGCCGTGGCCTTGCGCTTCTTGGGGCTGGCGGTGGCGGGACGGAAGGGGTGGTGGTCAGAGGCGGCGTCGCTGCTGATCGGGCTCCCGGTGCCGGTGGCGGACAGCGGCGAGGGGCCGAGGTCCGGGGACGAGTGGAGCATGCCGATGGAGCGGTCGGTGAGCGCGACGATCTGGTGGACGAGGCGGCGGCAGAGGTCGACGGAGGCGGCGTCCGCGGGCGCGCGCAGCTGCAGCTCGAGCTGGCGCACCAGGTCCTGCACGCGGCCCAGCTCCGAGACGAGGCGCGCCCGCCCGCCGCTCTCCACGGCATCAGCCATTGCTGCCTCGAGGATCGATCGGGGTTCGGTGGGAGCCGGAGCAGGGGAGGCCGGGCCGGTCGGTCGTTGCAGCTCGAGGCGCGGGCCGCGTGAGGTGGCGAGCGATCGGCGATCAGGAGTGGCTTGGCTTGACGTGGAGGAGGAGGAGTGGTGGTGGTGACTGGTGGGTGGCGGGGATGGCGAGCGGGGGTTTTATAGCAAGCGAAAGCCAGGGACGGAGGCCGGAGGGGGAATTTCAAGTGAAGTGAGGCGAGCAGAGGAAGCCGACCATTTGTTTGACCAACCCGGATCGTGGAGACCGCGCTGCGATTGGCTGCCGTTGCCGGGTCGGGTCTCGGCTTCTCATCTCCTACTGTGCTCTGTTTTGCTCGATCTCCACGTTTTTTATCAACCTCACCCGCTCATATTTGAGTTTAAAGCACTGACACGTTCCCGAGCAAGCACAAGTTTCCCCCGCTCGGGCCTATTCGGCTGGTATTAAAGCCGGTTGATAAGTCGACTGAAGTTGATTTGTTGTGAGAGAAAAAATAATGTAAATTCGAGCTTCTTCTTTCATTTTCTCTTTAATTTCTCTTTTATGTGATTACAAAACGTTGTACTAATATTTTTTTCCTTTTCAATAAAATATGTGTTCCGAAAGTTCTAAAAAAGAAGAAGAGAAAGGAAAGTTCTTATACATGGTGGTACTACAATGTTTTAGCTATGCCAATAGACAACGTATCATGTACAAACTAACCGACCAGTATAAACTTAGAAACTACCGATTAGAACCACTAGATGCTGATCCAATGGATGGGGTGAGAGATGGGATTTTTTTTACACTTAAGCCCCCCACCCGCTGGCTTTTTTTTTCTGCGCTTAAGCCTCCTCACCCTATCCATTGGATCAACATCTAGTTGTCATGATTGATGTGTTTTTAAGTTTATATAAGTTGATTGATTTGCACTTGATATGTTGCCATGCCAATATGCTGGCACGTGTCCTAACATAAAATTGCCCTGCTTTATTTGTTATTTGAAAGGCGCTAGTTGACGCCTCCAGTCTCTTCGCGAATGTTATTATGTCACTATATTTGATTAAAAGAGATGATGTGCTTATATGATTCGAGTGCATTCTAACATAATAGTCAGTTAAACACTTGTCCGTCCTCTAAGTATTTTGGATAAACCTCAGGACCTTTGGTTGTATGCCACACTGACGATTTTAAAAATGCTGTCTCAAAAAAAGAAGAAGAAAAAATGAAGGAAAACAATACTCTACGTGGGAGGTGGTGGTCTTGTCTCGGAAATTTTTTGGAGAAAAAAAACATTAACAAAGAGCTGGAGCCTGGAGTCTGCACGTCCAAAGTAATCAAGATAAGATCCTAGATGCGAACGGAGTGTAACTCAGTTGGTTATGTTATTTGTGGTGGAGCCTGTTTACTCGAGTTTAAGTTCTCGATTTGGCATGAGTGTTCGTATTTTTCTGGATTTATTTTATGATTTAACGGCGTTGTGCTTTAAGTGGTAGACGACGTTCCCGTCAACAGCGAGACGTATGTGGTGACTTCGTCAATCTCGAGATGTGCCGGCACAGTCTTTTAGGGTAAAGTTTACGTACGTGTGTTCATAAGAGTGAGTGTGCGTGCGTGCGTTGAGTATCTGTGTCTGTATTTATGTAATTCGTAAAAAGATAAGATCCTAGATATTAGACTAGAACTAGATAGATAGAAGCCGTCCTGGTTGGAGAAAACGACTAGAGATGAGAGGAGCTGTGGCTTTTGTTGAAAAAAAACCATCGTCTTTTTGGTCGCTAATAATTATGGGTCCATCCAATCCTTCGCTTTGGCGGTTTGACTCGAGCTGGTTTTCGTTGTTTGACCGTTGAACCGCGTCCCGGGTCGGGCTTCGGCCGGGGATCCGCTAACAGCCGTGGGAGGGAATCTTGGACCGGTTCCACGGTCTTTGCTAATCCCCTTTCTGTGTCCCTCAACCATCTAGGCCCAGCAGGCAGCAGGCAGAGGGAGCTGGCCCAGGCGTGGCAGGCACACAAGCACATCACAAGGCTGCATGCAGCTGCAATCCAAGCGAGGGTTCAAAGTCAAAATCCTGACCGGTTCAAACCTCCCAACTTGCCATAAATGCCCTTTTCATTTCTCTTGCATCCATCGACCCTGTCAGAAACCACCGGCATAATAAACTTGGATTTCCTTCTGGATTTCTCTTCTTAGAGCTCGTTTAGTTTCACCTCAACTAGCAAAAAGTTGCTACAGTATCTGTCACATCGAATGTTTGCGACCGTGTATGGAGCATTAAATGTAGACGAAAAGAAAAACTAATTGCACAATTTGGTGGGAAATTACGAGACGAACGTTTTGAGCCTAATTAGTCCATGTTTGAACACTATTTGCCAAATAAAAACGAACGTATTATAGTAAACCCAAAATCCAAATTACTGGAACTATGCTTATACTTCTTTTTTCTTGCTGCAGCACTGTGGCACGTCAGGGTACAAATCTTGGCCGCAGCTGCAGCTCCGAGTTTTGTCGGTGACTGAGACACTGAGACACCTCACTAAATACCAGTGGTCGTCCAACTCTGCTCCGATTTGTTTGTGACCTCATTTGTTCTGCTGGAGATTATAGATTTGTCAGTTTTTTTGGTCTTACGGTGTGTTTGTTTCTTTAGTCGCTCCTAAAATTTATATCACATCGAATATTTAGATACTAATAAAAAGTATTAAATATAGATTAATTAGAAAATCAATTATATAGATGGAGGCTAATTTGCGAGACGAATTTTTTAAGCCTAATTAATCTGTCATTAGCACATGTTTACTGTAGTACCACGTCGTCAAATCATGGACTAATTAGGCTTAACAGATTCGTTTCGTAAATTAGTCGCAAGTTATGCAATTAGTTTCGTAATTAATTTATATTTAATATTTCATGCATGTGTCAAACATTCGATGTGACAGGAATTTTAGAAGGTTCTGCAGAAACCAAACATGCCCTTAGTCAGAGAGCATCTCGAAGAGTTCTCTACTTTTTTTCTCCTAAAAACTTATAGTTTGATAACTCCTAAAAAAATTTGAGAAGAAAAAAAAAGAGCATCTTTAAAAATTTCTAATAAATGATATCTAAAAAATCAAATTTGGAACCCATGAATTATGTTGCGGGTTTTTTTTTCTTTTCGGTAACGGGAAACTGAGACCGCGACCTCCCTGCCGCCGCCGCCATCGTCGAGCCAGCCGCGCTGCAAGCGCCGTGGTGTGACGACTGCCTGCAAGCGCCGTGGTGAGGACGTCGTCGTTTCGACCTTTGCTACCGCTGGCAGGTAGTACAGTTGAAGCCAACAATAATCATGACGCTGGGCTTTTGCTTTGATGAACCCCACAGAAATCTGGCTCCATCTGCAAGGCGTTGCATGCTTTTGCAAGCCACGTTTACTTTCAAAACCAAATTTCTAAAACGTACTACAGTAGCCATCATATTGAATATTGCGATACGTGTATGGAGCATTAAATGTAGATGAAAAAAAACTAATTGTACAGTTTGGTTGAAAATCGCGAGACGAACGTTTTGAGTCTAATTAATCCATGATTAAACACTAATTGTCAAATAAAAATAAAAATGCTACAGTAGCCAAATTCTCAAATTTCACCCAACTAAACACAGCATCAGATGGGTAGAGTCGTCAGAGTGAGTACCTGGATTTTACGGCCGAGCTCGATGGGCGTGGCCCGCGCCTGGACGAGGTCGCCGAGGGCCGAGGCGCGCGGGGCCGACGTGGTTGATGGACAGCTGCACCCCGGCCAGCCTCCGATACCCCGACACGACGTAGCAGCTGATGCTGGCCGTCGTCTCCGCCATCAGCGCCGACACGCCGCCGTTGAGCCAGTCGAACGGCTGCATCGATCGCGTCGATAAGGATGAGACGGCCCCTTTCGGATTGCTGAATTTTGGCTGAAACTGGCTGAAAAATACTGTTCTGACTAAATTGTTGTGAGAGAAAAATACTGTTCCAGCTGAAAAAAGAAGCCGCCAAGCCGGATATGGGGTAAGCCGAATGGGTCTGAAAACAAAAATATCTGCGGCGGCGGCGGGCGTGCGTGCGTGCGTATCTTATTCCTACCCTACTTGGCAGCAGGTCTCGTTGACGGGGAGGCGGCCGACCACCTCCTCGGCGGTGACGCAGGTGAACTCGAAGCCCAGAGCCTGCAGCACCCGGTCCACATGGAAGGCCGCCGGCGGCGGTGGATGAACAGGAGGAGGATTGCCCGCGCCCGCGTCCACGGCGCCGCCCATCGCTGACTCTTGCCTCTGTCCTTGTTCCTGTGTGGAGGCTGGAGGAGGAATGAAAAAGCTAGCGTGGCACAGACCGACAGACATATACGACGTCCTCACCACGACACTTGAAGGATACGCGCGAGGCTGCGGCGCGTAAAGTTACACGGATGAGAGATTTTTTCAACTCCTAAAATATTAGAAGATTGTATTAGGAGTTGTTGAAGATAGAATTTTTATGAATCTTTCTAAAAACTTATAATTAGGAGGAGGTTTAGGGACTCTCGGAGATGCTCTTGATCTCGTTTCGTTTTTTTCCCGTTCGTGCATTTGGCACATGTTGTATACTTATGCTCGTCAAATGGGATTCCATTCCTAGCATGTGTCATCTGCTACTGCTGCCAGCACGCTTGTTTTTTTTCCGCATGTGTTGTGAAATTTAAGGTTTCATGAGTCTATGATTTTAAAAAAAATGAACCTAGCGGGATGGCTATCCAATATATTAGTAAAGAAGAAGGTTTAAACTTTGGATCTAGTAGGTATCTAAATATATGAACTAACAAGTGAATTAATTTCTAGTGCATGTGACCAAAGTTTTTTTTTTTTTTGCTTTTAGTTTACTTGTAATCCATGTATCCTTAATTAGTCCAACTACACTTTAGTTCTAGGTGATTCAAACAGGATCTATGCGTTGAAGAAGGCTTGTTTTCGAAGCCGGATGGGCAGGTTCCAACTACACTCGCAGTCAGCTTCAACTTCTGGCATTTTGCACTACAGTATCATGGATTTATGTGGGTTCTATCTTGTCTTATACTAGTAAAGCACACGGAATGAAGAAAGTCTAAGAAAAACCGATCTTTGTTGACCAATGTGATGCTTATATAAATCGAGATATATTATATAGTAGGGCCTCAGAGTTTTGGTTGGGTGTGGAGAAATCAACCGGCGACCGGCCGACGTGTACACCACGAATCTTCAACTCTCTTTGCGCGTCGCTGGAATAAACAAAAACACAAGTGCCTCTCCTGTCTCCTCGTGACGTGAGGCGAAAGATCAGCACTAAGCCTGGTGACGTCAGAGAGAGAGAGAGAGATGTGCTCATCACTTTGTTTCCTTGCCAGTAACATCCAAAAGTGCCTTTTGTTACCTTCGTAAGCATTATGTGTCCAAAGAAAAAAATTGTTTCGCATGTGCACCATGTAATTATTAGCTCGTTTGCACCTTCATCGTTTTTTCAATGTTTTACGTAGTTGTTTTTTTTCCCTTTTTTTCTTTTTGTTGTTAGGCCTTAACTCTTCTTCTAATATTAATATACAAATTTGGTAAACCTCCTGCCAGTTTTACATGACCAGTTTGCATATAATTTATTTCCAAGCACGTGCGACATTACATTATCTTTTTTTTTTCTTCGAGCTAAGTGATATTGTTCTTTGTAGGTGTAACGCCCCGCATTTTCACTACCAAGGTAAAAATGCCGGCTTAAGGATTATTACCCGACAAAGCGATGCCTCCACGAGTAATGATCTTAATCAAAGTGTTGCAATAGGATAATAGTTAGGACCTTACAAAACTTATTGCATTTGAGGAGAAGGGCAGTTAATAAATATTACCTAAAACAAAAATAATAGCGACACCTTCATATTATACTTAAAATTTATTTGTATCATGTATTTCTCATGTGACTTCCTTTAGGTCATGTGCTTGGCATATCTCGTCTTTTCATCTGAAGGGGAAGGGTTAATAGTAAGAGTGAGTACAAAGCACTCAGCAAACATATAATAAATCAAATGAAATGCATTCCTAGCCATTTGTCATATTCATTCTCAATCATAGATTGTTTATCAAAAAGTTGCGTATTTTAGAAAATAGGTTAAGAAATCTATTATCACCCATAAGTGAGACAGCGCCTTCTATAGGCTCCCATAGCCTCTATACCAAAAGACATGACGTGAATCCACGGTTTTAACCCTGCGCAGGTTTGTATCGTTTTACTCATGATTACCTTGACCAATTTTCTATCACACTTCCTTAGGTATGACTCATGGTCAAGATAACATAGTTTCCCCACTTCCGTACATTATATATATCCACATCTATCCACGTGCGCAAATATATGCGCCTGTGTGCACTTCATCGACACCTGGGCCCTGTTCGCTTCGCTGAAAAAACAAGTCAAAATACTATTCTGACTGATTTGTTGTAAGAGAAAAATATTGTTCCGACTGAAAAAAACAAGCTGAAAAGTACGGATTATAATACAAACGAACATGGCCCTGGTTGGGGATTTCATCACCCAACCCTCTCCTCACTTACCATAGGAAGTATATAATAACATTCATGGGTACCGAATTCGGCCCGTCCCAAACGAGTTCACTTGTCGACACGGTTTCATACAACCCATATAATGAGTGAGAAGGGTTTGATCCTTATATATTCATAGTCGATGTAGAGATAGCTCGACCCACCCTAATTCATCATCACATTCCATGAAATCTCTCTGCACCTAATAATCAATTATCATCAATTAACCATTATTCATCATCATCATTGTTCATTCAATTTAATTTAGAAAATAGATTTTGAAGCAAGTATTTTGAAAATATGTTCATTTTATTAAAAAAAATCGATGTTTCATCTACATGACTTGCCTGTCATTTAAAATGTCAACCCAGATCCATGTCCTTCAATGTTTTAGCATGCTTCCTGTAAATATAATATTTTATATATTGATACTGAGTAGAGCAAAAATATATATAAGCATCTACATGGAATTTACGTGGCCTGTGTCTCATCTAGTGTCAAGATACTTCATCGGTCTAAATTGTATTTTTGCTACGATTTATAAGAAATATATTGCACATGAAAAATTATTTGGACACCAGATTAATTAATATTCCTATCTTTGTGCACACGTGAGCAGCACTTGACCAAGGGCTACCTTGCTTGCTCTATACTAGTATTGGTACTGGTGCTTGAATAGTGAAATACTACTAATACTACTAGCCGGTCAACAGAATAGCAGGCGCACTCTCCATTATCCTCTCCAAGGCTGTCTGCAATGGATGACCCATATGAAGACATAAACCTCAAATGAGTCGTGAATGGTACTATATCAACCTCCAACAGAATACCTATATGCGAGACCTATTTTGAGTTATAGCAGAGGTACAACCCAAATATGAGTATCCTTCCTCTGAAGACTCATTTGCAGAAAGGGTGATATTTTAGGTTCTGTTATTGGAGAAGACAAAAATAGATATTGAACTTTTTACATGTAGCGCTATCCAAACATGAAATATGTCTTTGGACGATGGTGTTGGAGATAGCTCAAGCTAGCTGCTCCAAATCCACCCCATGGCTGGAGCCCGCTCAGTGATTAGTACACCAGATCAACTCCCCAAGAGCTCTAGTTGCTATCTAGCCACTTCCCCTTCCCAATTAGTACTCCTGCTGTCCTCTATTTTGGGAGCTTAGTTTCTTTACCCGCCTCCGGTTGTGTTCTATGGCGCAGGGTGCCCCAGCTAGGGATGAAAACGGTCGGGAATGGTTGGGAAAATGTCTTAACCATTCCCGCTCCTTTAATTTTTTGCCGGGAACGGGAAGGCCGGACGGGAAAACGAAACCGGTATTACGGGATAACGGGAATGGAATATTTCGAACGGGAATATGTCGATTACGATCGGAAAGTGGTAACACAAAACGGGAACCGCCGCTAGCCCCTTCCTTGCCCATGGCTGGCCGGAGGCAGCGGCGCAGGCGCGCAGCGCTCGGCCGCTCGCAGTCGCCAGGGGCAGCCGGGCAGTCTCGCTCTCGCAGAGAGGCGGAGGCGGCGCCGCACGGGACGGGAGTCGCCGAGTCGGGGACTCGGGGGGCCTGTTCGGCTAGTATTAAAGCCGGCTGAAGCTGTTTTATTGTGAGAGAAAAATACTGTAGATTCTAGCTGATAAGCCGGCTGATAAGTTCAAGCGAACGAGCCAGCGGATAGGGTTTGGCCACCGTTTTTGGGACGGACGGGAGGGAGTAGCGGACAGGAGTGGGCTGGGCCTGTGTCGCGGGGGAGCGGGAGGTTTCGTGGGCTGCATCAATGAGTGGGCTGAATATGAGGTCTAGGTGTACAAAATACGGGAATACCGCCGGGAATTTTCCTGCCCGAATACAGAAACCGTGAATACGGTCGGGAAAATTTCTTAACTGATTCTGTCTCGTTCCTGCTTAAAATACGGTGTCGGTTTCCCGTTTCCTGTTTTTCCTGCAAAAACGGTATGCGATCGGTTAATACGGTATACGGTGTCGGTCGGTACATGAATTTCCCGTCCCGTTTTCATCCATAGCCGCAGCGGGGTTGGGGCTCCCCGTGAGCGGAGGTGCACACAGGTGTGCCTCTGGACGCCGGCGCTGTGGTGCGCATGGCACGGCCGATGGTGGCGCTGAGCCGGCGCTGGCTCTGCACGAGCGTCAGAGGTGTGCTCCTAGGGTGCTGTGCACTCTCCCCTTATACTCTGAGCCTTCTACTCCTCTCTCTCTATATACAGCCTGATCGCTGGGGCTGGCTGGGCTAGTTGGGCTGGCCAGCCCCCTCACATGAGTATTGTTCACCTGAACCAGCCAGCAATACTTCTCTCTCATATAAATGAACCAGCAATGATACGAACCAGCCAACCGAACAGGCTGATAGCTACTGAACTCAAAGAGTATAATATGCTACTACAAGCTGTGAATTTTCCTACTGGTAAGATGTGCCCTCTGTGATTTGCTATGAAATGGTGGAAGGGGAACAGATGCTAGAAGAATATTATGAGTTAGTACTAATTGGCAATGGTGGCGTGCTTGCTTAAATGGACAGGGTTAGGGTGGGAAAATAAATCACCTTCTCACAGTTGAGAGTTCGGCCGCAGTCACAAGTGGTCAGCTCACATGCTTAGCCTTGCTCAGTCCACACTTCTAGCTTCCCCATCAGCGTGCTCTTCTTCGCCCTCTTCTGGCTTCCCCCATCAGTGCTACACCCATGTTGCCTGTTGATTGTTGGGGTGGCACCTGGTGTGTGGATTTTGCTTTTGGGAGTGATTTCTGGTTTGGTTTCTCTCCTAGGAGCACGGCCTCCTCTTGAGTAGAGAGTGAGGAGCCGAGTACTACTACTTCGATGGGTCCTTTCATTTTTACTGGGTCCTTTATACTACTACTGCTACTACTCTTCATCCCTCCAAATAGATATTTATTTACTTTAACTTCAGGCTCGTCAAGGCTTTGCATGGTGTGGTTGCTTAGCTGCTGCTACCGGATTGGTTGGCCTCCTTCTAGAAGGGTATGGCACTTCTCAGGGACATGAAGTCATGAACTAGTGCAAAATAGTGGACACAGTGATTTATACCAGTACTAGTATATGCCTCAAAGTGTAAAGAATGATGTGTGTGCGTGTGTGATATTTCCGTGAAGCTACCTTGGTCTAAACATGTCCAAAGATTAATATAACATTTGTGTATTTTTGTGTCAAGGCATTAAATCACTATCTTGATGTAATTAAGAGAAGTTTTTTTTTAACTATGGTTAGTTATTTGTTGAAAAGGCGGGTTCTTACAGTAGGTACGTAACCCTTCTGTTCTGTGTACTGCACCCTTGCACTGGGTTAGCAATTGCTGTTAGAACGTCCTTGTAATAGCAAATTACAATCAACAGGCGGCATGCACATGCTGAGAAAACCTCTTCAATTAGCAGTTTACTCCTTTCTGCATGAGTGATGATACAATAATATTGTTTCAATTCAACTAGGTAGTACATGTACTCAAGCAAAGCAAGCAAGTGGCGTGGCGAGTCATTCCATCTCCATGCTCTAGATCAGGATCTCAGTGCGTGGCTGTGACTTCAAGTTGCAAAAGCCTAGCAATTGGCCAGATGGTTGCTCCTTTATAATTGTCGTTTACTTATCCTTGCACCCTCCATTTCTTTTCTTTTTATGATGAGGCGTATTCGGATTTGGGGAAAAAAAGGCTTTACGAGTGCACTTAGCTTTTGCAACAAGTTTCTTTTAAACTATTGCCATCCGTTGCAACAAAATAAAAGTTGTAGTGATTTGTTTTTGGAAAGATGGGAGTTGTAGTGAAATGTTTGTGGAATGCAAGTATATTTTATACGTGAGTGGCTCATAATCCTCGATTTAATAATCTCTTAATAACAAGACATTATTCTTGGATATAACAGCATGGTACAGAATTAGGAGTAGCCTACAAGTAGTTACTCTCGCTCGTTTTAATTTCTTAGTCCACAGTTGCTTTTGTTTAGGAAAATTAGTCCACAATGGTTCTACTTAATTAACGCCTCCTCGTTTTTCTTTCTATTAATTTCGACGCTAGCTTGCTTGGTATAAAATTCCCAGCACAACGCGTGCGTAGGATGTTATCATCTGTGATGCTAGGACTAGGAGGTGTACGTGTAACGTGCAAGTGGAAAAGGACACGGTCGAGTTCCCTTGTCCCAATCTCCCCGTAGCAAGTTGGTGTTCGTAGTTCATCCGGTGGGCGCATGCAATGCAATGCAGGTGGCCCAGCACAGCACACGTGCGCATGCTTGCTTGTTGCTGACCGGTCTGCAGATTTCGTTTGATTTTGCTCTAAAATTGTCAATTTGTCACCATAGGATTTTACTCCGATCCACCGGAACAGAGGAAGTATCCTGGTTTCCGTCCGTACCATGGGTATGGGACAACTGCTTTCGTCACGCTACTTTGGACCAGTTGATCGCTCCAAAACTCCACAGATTTAATTTGGTTCAAATTTTTATTTTAAACGACAAAAGTTCCTCCAAGTATCCGGGTTCCCTCCATACGACTAAAGTTTCAGCTAGTATGTTCTGCATTCATTACATAGGAAGAAAACAGAACAAAACGAATTAACAATTCCAATATATGGAATTGCCTGTAAATTGAACGTTGTTGTTCGTAACAGAGGAGGCGAAACCCTTTCAGGATTTGACCTAATTAAGTTAATCAAACGTTGTTTTACTTCCCTATGGATGGGATTAAATCTACGGAGTACTAGCCTAATATAATTTGTCCTCTCGCTACTGATCTCGATCATCAGTTGACAAATTAAACCTTACAAAATGTGAAGCTCAACAACAGCAGCTGCTCGAAACCTAGCTGGAGCCTGGAAGATAAGGTTGGAGAGATGCGTGTTAGCAACATTAAGTTTAGACGAAATAAAAAAGTCAACCGTTGCATGCATGCGAAATGGCGTCGTTAGCTCGTACGGTACGGACGTGTCCGTGGTCAAAGAGCTTTGTCTTTTGTGGGGCAGCAACGGACGCGGTATGGCTGGCGTACGGTACGGACGTGTCGATGGCATGTTCACTTGAATTTATCGGCCGGCTTATCAGCCAGAATCTACAGTATTTTTCTCTCACAACCAAACAACTTCAACTGACTTATCACTCGGCTTTAATACCAGCCGAACAGGCCAATGTAGTATATTCGGCTGGTATTAAAGCCGGCTGTGTTTGACATCCTGCGTGTGAGGGCTGTTTTCATGGTTTTCAAAGCCATCACGGCTCAGTGTGGTGTTCCATTCTATTGGCATGTTCGTTCATTGGTTTTAGTCAGGGCTTATCAGCCAGCTAATAGTATTTTTTTTCTCACAACAAACCCGCACCAGCCGGTCTTATCAGCGCAAAAACCAACCAGCGAACAGGCCGTATAAGCCCAAATAAGTTTGAGTATACTGGTACATGCCACATATCTGCCTCCATGCTACAGATGATGAGACCAAATACACCCGTGGACGTAAAACGCAATGCCCATCCAACTGTAGATAATAGTATCTGGAGAGAACTTGCAACTTACCTGTTGAATCTTTTAAACTCGTAAGTTATCTTCTTTTTTTTGGATTGGTTCATATTTGGAAATTTCTGAAGTCACACAAAGATTATAATAAAGTTTTTTTTAAAAAAAAACAAAAGAATCACAAGGTGGATCTTCTACGCACACGCAGTATACGCATCCCATAAAAGAGAAACAGAGGGGGACGCAAGTAGAAATGCAAGCAGCGTACAAGTACTGAACGCCTAAGCCGCATCTCCCGCAAGTAACTCTAGCCCACTAATGGTAATAATGCCATACTGAAAACTTAAGGGCAACTTCAGAAAACTTAATGGGTACATGGAGCAACGACCTTAAGCGTGCATTACGTTACCAGAGCCCAGAGGCATCTACCATGCAACGTGTCAATCTTAAGCTCAGTACATGCCACAACGACCTTAAGCAAACACACAAGAATGTCATAGTTTCATAGGTATTCTGGAGTTACGAGTACACGTCATGGTTTCCCAGAACAATAACAAACATCATTCGATATTCCGATCCGAAAGCTAACAGAATAGCGTACTTTTAATGAAACAACAATAAAATACAGCAACACTACTAAAACTCCATGCTATCGTCTCAGTCAGACCATTTTAAAGGTAGCATTACAAGTTCCCTTGTTCACACAATCACGACTAGTCCCGAAATGAAAAGGTTGCATAGAAGCGCTTCCTAGTCTGCCTTATGGTTCCCATTGCTGGTGGGTGATCTGGACCGGTCTCCGCGCCTTCTGTCATGGGGTGAACTGCCCCTGCGGTCTCTTGACCGTGACCGCTCCCTTCTGCGGTCCCTTGAACGGGATCGCTCCCCCCGGCGGTCCCTTGAACGAGACCGGTCCCTGCGGTCCCTTGAACGGGACCGCTCCCTCCGGCGTTCCCTTGAGCGAGACTGCTCCCTTCGATCCCTTGAACGCGACCGCTCCCTTCTGCGTTCCCTTGAGCGGGACCGCTCCCTTCTGCGAGCGCGGTAAGGTGATGGGCTCCTTTGAGATCCTCCTGCATTTTTAAGGAAAAAAATAGTAAAGATATAGCTGTAATATCGCTCCCATGTTTTTCCTTACTAATGTTTTAAAGCACACGTGGATCACAAGCCTATAAAAGGTATATGCAACCAAATTTGCACATACTCACTGTCACACAGGTTTCCCATGGCTACGCTTGTGATTTTTCACTACTTCAAAAGTGTGATTTGAATCAAGGAAAACAATGACCTAGACCATAGATGTGTCCTCAAAGCTTTGATAGTGTGGGAATTATGCCAGCTAAAAATACAGAACACCACCTAGACCAGATGTGTACTCAGAGCTTCGATAGTGTGGAATTATGCCAGCTAAAAATAGAGAACACCATAAAAGCTAAAATTATAATCACAGGTTGTAGGAAACATAACACCCCATTGAGGTTGGTCATTAGAATATTTAAAGATCACTTGATAAAACTACAAATAAGAAAACAAATACCATATGAGTGATGCAAAATGTTTAGAGACTGAGGTCATGTTAAATGTTTAGAGACTGAGGTCATGTTTATGTATTAATAGCACAGCATAGCACATCTGACAACTGCAAACAAATAAAGTGATATCCATTCAACTACAATGTATGCAAGCTTAACACTTACAGAAGCAAGTCAAATGATGCTTAATACAGAAAGCATTGTGGTCATATCATGCGGAGGTGCAAAACTGGCCAACTTTAGTTCATACCTCTTCGACCACAGTATTGTCCAGGAGTAGGGGTCCTTTCACGAGTTCTTTTAGCCTGAAATGAAGTCGTGAACAAATGTATTAGTTGGTACGCAATGAAACAAGCAATGAACTTCAAGTACGCCAAATAAAGAAGGAACCCAATTCAATCTTAAATCCGAACAGAGTGGTTAATAGAATTGATAAAGAAACTAAGCTTTGCCCTTTTGCTGAAAAAAAAATAGTCATGGATCATTAAGCTTAGTCAATTCTTGATCAAAATTCTTGTGATACAAGTAGATTAATAACTTTACGTTTCATGCCAGCTCAACCAAAGATGACTTTTGTGCACTCGTTCCGTGGTCGGTGTAGCCATGGTCCAAGGAAGTGCCAGCTTATGCCTCTTGTGATGTCCCTCATATCAAGATACTGGTCGATGAAGTTCGCATCAGACTCGGTGGTTGGTGTCGTGACATGGCAGCAGCATGCACCATGTAAGCTTTAGTCGAAGCAGACAAATCGTAGAGCCTGTTGGATCATGAGCGTGATGTTGACGATGGCGGTTGTGGTAGAGGTGGCGGTGGTGGTGGCGGTGGCGGTGACGCAACGCACAACAAGACTCCACGATCGCTCTATGGCGACAGTCCTCATGTTGATGTAGCATGTATGCATTGTCGGTGAGGGAGGTGTAGACGACAAGTGGTGATGAGCTCTGAGGGTGTGGTGATAAGCACCATCACGTCATCTGCACATCCTTTGGAGACAACCATGGTTGAAGACTGCACAGCCTGGACCAACCAGGTTGATGTAGAGGCAGCCCAGCACCATGTTAAACTGGAAGGTCAGGAAGTCAGCACGAGACGAGAGTTAAGACCCCAGTTGAAGAGCCACAGAAGAGGTTTTCCCAGTTCACCACACTAGGATTGCATCAGAACACATCACAAATGATTCCCTTTCAATTTATTCTGGCCCATTTCACCTGAGTGGAATTTCCAGGCTTGGCTGTTCCAGAATATACTCTTCCATCACAGGGAAAGAGCATATTTGTAATCTTCTACCCATAACATACCTCATCTCAAGGACCCTTCACCAAAGTTTTAAACTGAACAGAGCATAGCATCATTGAAGTTTTAATGTAATGGAATATACTTTCCATGGTGCACAAGATTAATGTATTAATACTATGTTACTAAGACATCAGTGATTTTCAAGACTAAAGTGGGAGGGAGGACGGACAGACACAAGACAAAAAAACATGCTTGACAGTATAGTAGCTTTATATTTTTAACTGTACTACTGCTAGTATTAGACTACTTGAAATTACTATACAAAGATAACATGACAAAACTAGCACTATTCAACAAAAATGCAACAGAAAAATGCATAATGGAATGAATCAGTACAGTTAGTATCTACCTTCTCTACAGTGACCAGGCGACCTTCAAGTACAGTGCGGTGGAGATACTTGATGCAGCGTCTTGCATCTTCAAGAGTATCCATAGTCACAAAGGCAAAGCCACGGGATTCTTTTGTCCTAGGATCAAGAACAACATGACAGTTTTTAACCTGCATTGAAAGATGGAACTGATTAATTGGATACCAGAAGGTTAGACAAGATTAATAGACAACTCAGATAGAGATAAAATTGAGACCATAATAATTTTCTCGAACAACGCAGGAGAACAGCATGTCATTTCATTAAGAAGAGAAATAATACGTAGGAGAGACAAGAGTCTACTCCTAGTACAAGGGAGAGAGACTCCCGAACTCAACACTCACAGCACAATACACTAACCCAGCACTCGTATCTCTGTGCTTAGCTGAAGAAACATCTCCTTAAGAGCAAGGCTCCAGCCATGCACCAAATATGACCCCAAGAGACCATCATAATAAGAATGCGTGAACTAATAATTTGAGACCATACCTTTCCTTCTTTACTAAAGAACTTCTGAAGATCTTCTTCAGTTACACGAGTAGACAATCCAGTCACATAAAGGTTATTCCCTGGATTTCTATCATCTGGGCTCCTGTGCATGATAAAGAACTGAACATCAGTACTGCCCCAGTCCCATATTTGTGTAGAATTGCAAAACTGGAGCTAAAAACAAATCATTGCCTCATTGGAACCAATAATATTTGATAAACTATCAATTACAAGTGATATACTTGCCTGGACCGACTTCTATCCCTTGACCTTGATCTACCACGTCTCCTAGGAGGAGACCTTGAAGTGCTGCGTCTCTTTGGACTCCTTGGACGTGGGGACCGTGAAGCACTCTTTGGTGGAGGTGACCTTGAGGGGCTGCGTCTCTTTGGAGGAGGTGAGCTTGAAGTGCCATTTCTATCAGCAGGAGGTGTAATAGACCGTGCAGTGTACCTAAAAGCAATATTTCAAAAACCAGAACACACCAGATTAGGAGAATTTGGTCTGAGTGAGAGAACAAGAGAATTATTATAACAATTCCACCATGCAGGGGTACTAACCTCACTTCCCTGGCTTGTGACATCTAATAAGAAAACACAACAGAGTGTAGTGTCAGATAAACAGCCAATAAATTACAGACTGCAACATAAATACTTATCATAGGAAGAAAACAAACTTCACAATTAATCCTAAAACTTGAAATGTGAATAAAAACATGTGACTGTGACAACATTAGGGCTTATCCGTCTATGGAAATAGGGAAGGAAGCAAAATGGAATCTTTTGCCTTTTAACTGGTATACACACTTAAGCAATGTGACATGAAAAGATACACTATTGTAATAAAAAGTAATAGAAATTGGCAGCTCAAAGACCAAAATGAGGCAAGATAGCAAAAAAAAGTATGATAAGAATCCATCTTCAGCTCGTAATTATTCTACGTTAATAATCTGAAACAAAGCGTACTTGTCCAATAGGTCTACACTTCTTGGTCCACCTTTCCAGATACTTAATTTTTCATATTTATTAGTTTTACCAAGGGCGGGCCTGGTGCAAGCGGTAGAGTCTTACCGCCTGTGACCGGAAGGTCCCAGGTTCGAGTCGCGGTCTCCTCGCATTGCACAGGCGAGGGTAAGGCTTGCCACTGACATCCTTCCCCGGACCCCGCACAGAGCGGGAGCTCTCTGCACTAGGTACGCCCTTTTTTTATTAGTTTTACCAAGCTATTCATATTATTATAGCAAAATCAGTGGGTGGTTCCATGAAACTTCAATCACATATGAGGAACTGCAGTGATGGCACGCATCATGAAATTGACAAAATGTAACTGTAGAACACATAGCAGAAATACAAGCAGAACTAGCGTATATAGCAAATTCCATTCTAATTACTCACATTACTCACATACACCAAACCACAAATTATTAAATATACAGCACACTGCTGAAGCATCCACTAACTAATAAAATGCAAAATGAAACTAAAAAATAAATGACGATATGCCAGAACATACATGAATTGCATGATCCAGTGACCATACCTCAAGTGTTTAACAAAGCAAAACATCAACCAAGTAATGATCGAATTCAAAGAGAACCTACCTTTGGAAGACTAAATCAACAAGTAAACATAGTGTTTTGTAGAATGTGGGGTTTCTTGGGATTGTTGGGCATCTCCCCACTCCCCAGTAGGTTAGATTTTCAAACAGGAAATTTCCTAGCCTAGACCCATATATGACAGAAGAGTCCATATACCATAATACTTGGCAGTGATGATCTGAGTACCTTAAAAATGAAGCTGCAAACTGAAGCACCAGGTGAAGACTCGAGGAACCAACTAAAGGTGGTCTACCTGCAAGAAGGAAAGAGTAAATGAGCATAAATAAGTAAACAACCATCAGGAATCAGAAAGTGCAAAGTACACATCTGTGGCTTACAACCATTTAAGTTCAGCAGTTCAGGTTCGTGGACTGTTCTAGGCGCCCCGAATAGGTGTTGTTTAGGTTTTTTTTAAACAGTTGCCCATGACGACTGTAGTGGCAGATCTGTTGATTACTAGTTCAATTAAAAAGAACCAAGAAAAATAGTATAGTACCCCAAAACTATCCGCTAGCAATAATAATAAATGAAGATTTCCAAATCTGTCTCCACTTCCGGTATATATGCTCATGGGAGTTGAGACTATTCTTGAACCAAAGAAATAAAAAAAATAAAACAAACAAATCGGAATCAACCAATAAGTCATCCACGGTAGTAGCATGACCAGATCTGGCTCGAGGCCGGCAACAAGAGTCAGCCACGATTCCCTTTCTCGGCACCCCGCAACCCGCGGAAGAAAAATCCAAAACACGCAGCCACACGAACCCCTATAAGAACTATAAGAACTCGAATCGAACAGAATTTAGCTCAGTTCGTGCGCGGCGTTTTCCTATCCAGATCTGACGCCGTAAGCCCCCGGCGGCAGCGCGCAGCCGCGGACTAGCTCGGCAGCTGCTTCGGACAGCGAGTAGCCCAACCAGATCTACCACCCGATCTGAGCCGTGTGGATTCACGAGGGAAATGTCAGATCCACAGGAACGCGAAGAGCTACCAGGAAGACGAAGGGGAATAGCGGAGGTAGAAACCAGAGGAAGGGGAGGGGAACGTCGGAGGTAGAAGCCAGCACCTGCAGGCTCGGGGAAGCAGCCACCGTCGCTGGCCGATGGCGAGAGGGCGAGGAGGCGGCTCTGGCGCCGTCTGCGGGAAGGCGCACGGGTCAGGGTCAGGTCAGGGACAGGGCTACCCACTGCGAGAAAAATCAGCTCGCACGTGACGGCTTGCTTGTCGGTGTCGTGCCGTGCCGCCGTTGAACGGGCGCATATGGGCTGCAATTCGCGTAAGCCTGGCCTGATCAAAGTGCTTTATGCAGTGTAAGCAAAAAAAAAAAAAAGTCTTTTCATCTCTTTTGTTTCTAAAAAAATCTAAAAAAAAGTCTTTTGACCTCAACTTCCCATTTCCTCCTTCTCTACAAAGGTGGGTTTGTTTAACTTCTTAACATTCAGAGCAACTCAAAAAAACTCTCTATATCGTTCATAATTATTAGGAATAAGATTTTGGTGAAAAAATACTCTCCAAGAGCTTTAAATGATTATCCTAGTATAGTCATCATCTATTCCGGATTTCTCACTAGCCAAATATAGATTATAAGTTTATATTTGGTTGACCACTTAAAGAAGATGTTGGAGAGCATTTTTTATCAAAATCTCTATTCCTAACAATTAGAAAGGATATAGAGAGTCTCTTGAAATTACTTATTTGGTAGGCTCCTCCGGAGGAGCCGGACCTGTTTTGGTGGAACCACAATTTGTGGCTTCTCTAAAATGGCTCTAGCTCCTTTCTTTTTTCCCGTGAAAAATAGCTTCAAACGGCTCTCCCTCCTAAACAGTTTGGTAGGGATCCTTCGCAGAAGCTGGAGCCAAAGAGGAGCCTAATAAACAGGCCTTAAATTATCATTTTGAGAGTTATTTCCATAAAAACCGATTCCTATATCTTTTCACTCTCCAGCATTTTTTTATATCTTGTATGTACTCTAGAAAGTCATTTTCGTTTTTTATATCTGACTAGCGAGAAATTCAAAATAGAAGATGGTTATATTTGATAGCTATTGAATGATATTTTTCATTAAAATCTCTATTATAGCAATTAGAAAAGATATAGATAGTCTTTTAAAGTTCCTCTAACGTACGAGTGTTATGGATGCTCATTATACTAGTTTATTGGGAAGTACGTTAGGTGAGGAAGACATGCAATTTTGAATACCATGAATCGCCAAGTCACGTGTTACTTATAAAAAACTACAAAAAGGACAGTAGCTTTTGAGTGGCAGGCTCTCTTTTTGTTGTGATTGTTGTTGTAAACCATTGTTGTACTTGTATGTTTAGGCATCTCTTTTTTAAAAAATGACTGACAACTATTATGCTGATTTATTGTTTTCTAACAAAAAGGAGAGGAGGAAAAAAAGACCGAACTCGTGTGTTACGACTCATGCAAAATTCTTTCTCGATGGACGACATATCCCACGACGGGTCACACGATTAATTAGGAACCGCGCAACCCTTCTTCATCCTCGCCGCCGCCGCCCATGCTCTCGTTTGCGCAAGTTGGCTCACACACTCCTCTGCCGCCCTCCCTCGTACCTCCACCACCCGCGGGTGCTGACTCCTACTGCCTCGTCGTCCCACCCACCTCCCACCGTCACCCCTCGTCCTCGCCCTCCCCTAATCACAGAGGGTCAGGTACCACTCCGCACGCGACGTCCTTGCCACCAATACCGCCCAACCACCATCTACCACCGCTCGAACGAGCGGCGCTCCCACCACCGTCTCGCCCCCACCTCTGCCATGTCGCGATCGTCGCCCCCCTCAACCCTCTTATACACCTTCCAGTGAGTGAATCCCCTCCCGCAACCCTAACCCCCAGTCCTAGGCGGCTCTTTCTTCTTCCTCTACGATGAGGCACGGATGGGTTGCGTGAAAGCACGAACGCACGACCCGTCATGTGTTTGAGTTTGCCGATGTCATTCTTTGCTATCTTGAGTGATATCACTCTCGTAGTTGAGAGCCGCAAGTCTACCTAGACATATATGATGGATCACCTAGACTACCAGCTTAGTTAAAGTGTGCATTGTCTCTTTGCCATATAATAATGGCAACATTTAGGCATTGGAAGTGACCATGTATTAAAATGTTGATGCCATACTACATGTGTTAACATTGATTTACTGTTGTGATGTTGTTACAGTTCAGAGCTATAAGGTTCCAATAGATATAGCGACGGTCGCTTTTTCAACAATACGACACTTCATCCATTCTTTTTGTTTTAACTCGATATAGAAGTAAACACTCCTCAAGTTGGCACGACAAATTGATATTCATAAAATAACCATAGGTACCTTGTTATTGACGTCGCGCTGGCTACCATTGAATGGACAATACACATTAGAATTTAGGACAAGTCCCACCATAAGAAAAATAACCCCAACTCAGCTCAAAATGGAGCCATCCGTTATCTCACTTGATAATACTAATGCCCAATATGTTAATACTAATGCTTCACCTCACTTCATTGTTCTATCTACCTGTCCTCGCTTCATCGTCCTATCTACCTTTATTTATAGACTAGGTAGTGTGCCCGTGTATTGCTGCAGGATAACTAATATTTTGTACTAAAAATATATGGATCGCACGATAAGATAACAATACTGTAAAAATTAAATATCAACGTTAAAGTTACAGATAATCCAAAAAGCAAAGTTTGTGAAATTAACAGTCACGGTGAGCGTGGTGTCACAGTCTTACAAACTCTATTTTATAGACCTTTCCGTGATGCGTCTAAGATAATATTTTATATCAACAAGAAAAAATCTCCGATATCCATTTCTTTCGTGCGCCAATAAATCTATGAATAAGTTCCGCCGCATCTCCATACCATTCTGTACATAGGCTCGAGTATATATATCAATATTAGTGCCTGTCGCATGGGTAATACTGCGTCTCTTGAAAAATCTTCCATAAAAACTTAAAACAAAGTGTTATACTCACCGTATAAATATGTGTGGCTTTTGATCTATTCCACGTAGACATATACTGTAGAATAAGATATCCACTTAAGTGTCTGTGGCAAGATTCACAATCAGCGATATATAGAAATAATTAAATCGTAGGTGTTATTATTGCAAGCCATAGTGACTCTGCGTTAGTTACACATCTATATCATCTGCAATGTTTTCTTCTCGTCTAAATTTCTACTTAAAGACATCCTCGTTCCATCCAGAAATATGTACATTCACTGCGTCCGTGTACTACAAGGTAAATCCAAAAGTATACCTGGCATACATCAGCGCTGATGTATCTTTACACTAGTCTTCAATAGGTATAGGATCAATCATGATAAGCATCTTCTCCTTCTGATCGAAAACATAAAGCATATACTTTCGAACGTGCAACCATGGCAAAAGAAACTGCAAACATGGTAGCGTTTAGAATAGTATATAGGAAACAAGTAATAAAAACAGGAGCAAGCGACTTATATATCTGCATTATGCTAAGTTGTATTCCATATCCTCACATACACCAATCGCAGCAGCTATTTCCTTCTTAGTGTATTTTTACGGTATTCTGGCATTTTTGTTAAAGCACACATTTTCTCTCGTGGCGACCAGAGACCATCGCGACAGCCCTACGCTAGGTGCCCAGGTTTTCGTTGGGCCCTTCACCATGTCTTCGTCGGACCCTTCGCCGGTGACGAGCATCCAACAGGTACGCCCATCCCTTCCCTGCTCTCTCTTCTATGCGAAGCTGAGGACCCAAACCCTAACCTAAGCTATTTGGTGTACTCAGATCTGATCTAATATCAAGTCTACCAAATTTGATTTTCTACAAAAGTTATCAAGTGTGCATATGTCCACCGTGTCCTTTTACTGGATCCGCCCCTACTGTTGGTCTTGGTTTTGTTGATTTGCTTTGTAGTGATGGAGGGTTTAGGGATGAACTACCTTGCGAATCCAACAGAAGCAATTGGATAGTTTGGTAAATCTACTAGCAGAGGCAAGCAGGTACTGTTGCTATGCACCTTTCGCTTAGTTTATAATAGCAAAATTGTTGGTAATTTTGTCTCATCATGATTGACATAATGATTTGTACCCATACCTCCAGCTAAACTATGTACTGACTACTGAATTAGTTCTGGCATCTCAATAGTGTCTACAGTTTAATTATTCGTCCATAGAAACAGACCATGTTTTCTACACATTACGATTTGTGAATATATAAATTGTTTAATTATTTGTTCATCCATTACTCAAGGTCCTATACCTTCTTTGCATTTGATGAAATGCCTAACACATGCCATTTTTATATTGCTTGTCTTATAGAATAGCAAATAAAGAATCTTGTGCACGTGCTCATGGGACCATCTCTGGTTGTCTTCATCCTCTCTCAAACACGATGCAAGTACCTAACAATTATGTTGGTATTAAATAACATATGATCTACTCAGCATGTATAATTGGTGTTTGTTGTTTTTTCCATTGCAGGAAGGAGCGGTTCCTCCCGCTCGTGGTGCTAGTGCCACATAGGAGGTGTCCTTGGAACCCCTCACCCTAGCGTCGCTGTTTCAGCCTGCCACACGGTTCTAGTAACTGCAGCACCCGCACTTCCATGACGATCAGCATGGTCCATTCGAAACCCACCTGTCCGTGCGCACACTAGCCAGGCGAGAAGTTGTTCTGAGTCGTGAGTTATCATTTGGATGAATTACATGATGTGCTTCTTATTACGTAGCATATGTATCTCTTTGAATTTCTAGAGTGTGCACGTGATTGCAAACTTAAATGCAATACTTTGGTGTGATTTGGCTATATCTGTCGAAATCCAGTAGAATTAAGGTACCTTTCAATTTTGAACCACAGATGGTTGCATATGATATCTTAGAGGGGAGAGAAGCTTATGTAGTACTGGATGGGAGTGTTTGCTGAAATCCCCCTTAATTTCGCATTACAAAGATTAGACAAGTGGACATGAACAAAAACTTAGGCAGGGGAAATTCAATTTCTACAAGCAGGAGCAATTGCATTTGCTACTGTTTCTCTATGACACATGTCCATATTTCTATTTCTTCCCGCCTTCTAGATGTCCTCTCTTATGCTGAAGACAACAACAATAGGTATATATTAAGGAAACCAGTCCATCATATTATTTCTTGTTGGACTGCATGTTTTTTTTGTTGACATGAACAACATTGGAATTTACAAGGAGTCAAGTGCAATAGTATGTTTGTTTATATTACCTCTACCGTGATGTCAGCATGCCATTGATTATTATCCTTGTTCTATGCTCCTCAAAGCGAAGTGATTTATTATAATACTACTCGCAGCCTGATTGGTATTCACCTTCTTATTAGGCTTTGGAAGAGCGAGGTCCAGAAAAATATCTCTTTGTTGAGAGTGTTGATCTTTAGTGATGGAGAAGTAGAACCAAATCAAGAGCAGGTCGTCCAGAATCTGCCTTCCTTGGGTTGGGGAGTACGTTAGCTCTCCTTTAATCTTCTTCATGACCTTTTTAAAATTTAACTATGTGTTTAACTGGTTTTTTATAGGGTGTAGGCCTAATTATTACCTCTGTGGTTACAGGTAAGGAAAGATCTAGTTCACTGCTGGTGCATTTTGCTTACGCAGAAGGCTGATGAAACATATTGTTGCATGTAGTATATTGAAAATCATCTGGAGCTTTTAGATTTCCTTGCTGGTTGGTAAGGCTTATGGGTCTACATTCGAGCACTTCATTTTGTTCGGATATCTTCTTTTTAATTTTTTTCTACAATCTCTATAAAGGCTAGTGATTGAATAGTTGCCACCGTCGAAGGATTAAATTTCATAGCAGAGTCACCATGAGTGTCATCAGAAACAAATCATTAACAAACCATGAGTGTCATTTTATTAGGTGTCCCTTGCACTAGAGCCCCTACAAGAACACTTCGAACACTGGGCTATGACATTACTCTCATATTCTCATTACAATGAGTCAAAAAAATCAACACTAACATGGGATACAGTGTAAAACCAATTTTGTTGCTAAGGGTTAGTAACAATGATTTGTTTTTATTTTTTATTTCTTAGCAGGAGCAAGCAATGTTTGTGAAGCAAATGCAATGTTTGTTTTTAGGTTCATCTCGAAATCTTTTGGCCATATAGATTTCTTTTCTAGTGAGCTTTTGTTAGAATAGGAAATTTTGTTAGATCAGTCTTTCAGTTATGTCCTACTTGTCGCTATTCAGTGTATAGTTTCTATTAACAGTGAGTTTTTTTCGGAAATGGATTAGCAAATATACTACAGGATTCTAATGCAGAGATCCTTGTTTTCCTCTGGTAGGTAGGACGTTTCAACTACATTCGCTTGTCTACAAAGTATGGGTTTACACGTAAATTCAGTTGTATGTCAGTATCTTTCAATTTATAAAGTGTTTGAGCTGCTGGTTGAAAATTCTTTGGCGTCAAAGCCAAATGTTTGGTTGGCAAGATTTGATTTGCTCAAATAGATTAGTTACCATGTCAAGACATTGCTGGAATCTTTTTTAGATTATTATTGTTGGAACGGATGAATCAATTTTTGCCACCATCACTATTTATGTGTAAATGTTGTTTTTTAACTTTAGGCAGCGAGGGGACTGTCATTTCAACAACCTCTTAGTTTGGATTGTTCTGAAGATTAAAGAGGATGTAAGGCACTCAATTCTATACCATCTCTTTGATTGCCTCCCTAAATCCGAGTTGGTTTTAACTAATTCGGAAACTATGAATACTGCATATTGTTTTGCCATATTTCATCTGAAAAACAAAATAATTAAAACTAACATCCAGAGAATTTCTAGTTAATTTTTTAGAGATGTTTTGTTTTTAGAATGAGCAAATCCGAAAAGGTGGAATCACGCTATCAGAGACTATCTGTTAACTAAGATGGTTTTTTTTCCTTGGGTTACCCAGAATTGTTGCAATTTTACAGGATGAATCAATGGTTGCCATTCATACCGTGATGCTTGATGCTTAACACAACTAGCTGCCGAAGCAACTATGAAAAAAAATCGAATGTAGAATAAGTTCTTGTGCTCAATAAATTTTGCTGCTTGCTAGTAGATCAGTAACGGCCACATGTGAATATGCTAGGATGGATGCTTGGTTTGGATGGCACGATGATGACTTCGCCGACATTTGTGATATTCTTGACAGTAGTGCTCCAGTACTGCTTAAACTACTAATGTCCTAAAGCCAACCATCGAAATATATTGGCATTAACTCTCAAAGGTAAGTTGTGGTTCAAGTTCAGTTTTCTCCACTAATATATGTCTGAAGCAACCATGCTTGGTAAATATTTTTTGGTTTTTCTCTGATCTAAATATGAACTGAATATAGCGTTTATTGTACAATTGCCTTACGGTTTGCCTTTTTATTTACAGATTATATTATAATAATAATATTGCTATGTTTCTTCTAATGCCCAATTCTTTGTAGAATCTAATTACTTTGATCTCTGGCATCATGAAGATAGGGAGCTGCTTGTTGATCCTAAGTTGGTGTTCGTCGGGAACAAACTAGGAAGATCCAAAAGGGGAAGTAATGATACTTTTGAGGCAAGCATACTCGCACCTAATTTTTCACATGTATGTGGCTACTTTATTGGACTGAATTTCAAGTATTTGCATTAGTTGTTGTTTTAGTTTATTTTCATTTGTCTTTTAGTATGTTTAAGTAATATTCAGTAGTCCTGTATTCCTTGTATCTCTGAATAGGTATGGTGATCAAATTGTAGCGATGGGTTCTTAATCGTGGAAAAACTCCTGAAGAAAAAGCAACACTTGAAGCCTGTTTCAGTTGAGAAGTAAATATAATGTGTAAAGTGAAACATAAGAATCTTATCAAGGTACTTCCTGATCTGAATGACATGTTTGTGTGGCTACATAGATTGTCATTTTTTGGGACCTTCTCACAACTATTTATGCACTCATGTAGTTCATTGGAGCTGGGAAGGGACCATTGATGGTGATTGTTATTGAACTACTACCAGGAATGTCACTGAAAACATATCTGAACAGCATTTGGCCTAGCCAACTAGATACACACATCACATACTGCAATTAACTGTGTAATGGACTGTTTACATGCCAATGGCATAATATATAGAAACTTGAAACCTGGTAAGGATGCTCTTCTAGCATTGTACACTATGAACCTGTGATCCTTTAGCAGGGATAAGTTTCTTTTATGTTGGTAAAACAGAAGTTACATTGCATAGCATGCTGATATTTTGTTTCCATTTTCTTCAGTATTATTGAATCCTTTTGATAATTGGATTTGTTCCCAGTTTCAAATGTGTATTGACAGTTGAGTGGTGGAGATGGACCTGAGTGTAAGGCACAACTTAAGCTAAGAATTAGACATGCAAAATAGACTCCACGAGTCGGCACATGCACACTCATGAAACTAGAAGTACGCTGTGGCAAGGGACGGCGAAATCTGATAGCTAGAGGGTACATGGTGGCTGGCATCTTTTTAATCTTTCAACAAACTGCAGATTAATTTTGTCAAAAAGAAATTTAGAGGTTAGAATATATATTTTTTGGAATTGTAAATAGTAGGGATGCAATATAATCTGTTGTGCGATCCGTGTGTTTTTAGTATAAAAGTTTTATTGTCCCATAGCAACGCACGGGCACGCTACCTAGTACAATTAGGAGAACAACAAATAAGACAATATAATATAGCACGATAAGAATTTTAAAAATGTGCTTACACAGAATCTTAGGTCCATGTGATGCTTCATAATACTATTGTATTTTTTCATTGTATTGTACTCTCGAGCTGCCTGAAAACGGACACTTAGGTTGAAACAGTTCTTTGAGATGTCTTGATTGTTCATTAACAACTCTTGTAGGTCCTTGACACTTAGGGCAATCATGGAGGGATGAAAACCTTTCACTCAAGGCTTCCTGCAAAGCATTAGACACAGATGATGGTTTTCGTCATATAAGATAGCACACTATTATTAGTAAATAAAGTAATTAAAATAAGCATGTAACTTACTTCAACGTTGCTTCATCCTGAATTGCCATGACGTAGTCACACAGTAACTCAATCATCTCTTCTTTGTTCATTGGCATGTCTTTCATGGCCTCAAATGCTCAAAACTCATCAGGGTCTTGGTTGGCATGGACTTGTGGTGAGTTTGTATATGTTGAGGAGTGCCCGTTTGAACCACTAAGCATTCGGTCTCCTCATAATATTTTCTTTTTTTCGTGGACACTTGATCAGCCATCTTTGAATTCTCTATTATGGCACAGTCGCTTGGGCTTCCAATATTTTCATCCCTATCAAGATATGGAGCACCCTTTCGTTTGTTTAACTCTGACGATAACAAGATCGCTGCAAGCTTCAATCTAAATTCTTTCATATCATCCTACACAATAGTATGAACCTAATTAATTATTAATTAAAAACCCACAGCTAGTGCACACTCATAACTTGTGGTAAGACGCATAGTTTACCTGATTGAACTTGTCTGACAAATCGTTCCCAGTCCAATACTCCATAAAGTTTATTAAGAATAAACCGCATGAAAAACTACATACAATATTAATAGAGGTTCAGGCTCATATTAAATAAAAAGGCAAAGACAAATAAAATTCAACTTATATGGCATGCCATTATTTCTGACGTACCCATCTGTTTGTAATAATTTGCCGCGGAAAATCTCCCTAATCGGCCAGGTATCAATCTCAACATCTAGACATTTGTGCTCATTCGGGCATGTATCCTCCAATACAAAATCTATCTGTTTTCGCAATCCACCTCGCTATTTGTTCATAGAAGAACGAATCAATCAGCATTTCTAAAATATGAAATGTGTACAAATAGCCGTGTTAGGAAATACCCACAATTTTATTGAGGTCAACACGTCCGAACATCTCGCCCAAAAAGTCTAGCACCTGAACCTCACGTTTGTCGGCGTTTATAACAGCAAGGTACCAATGTGTATTTGTAACATTTATTGGAAGGAACACCTATCAAATCAAATAATAAATATTTTGCCAGGCATAAAAAATTGATAATGAAAGACCAATAGATCGTTTAAAAATTGCTACCATGTCATGCTTCAAGTAAGCTAGCACCCTTTGAACTAAACCAGGACGCTGCGAAGTGCCACGGTTAGGGTAATTTGGTTTCAATGGTCTCATCCTTTTCTCCATTCCGCTTTATGATTGCAGCTAAGCACGTAGTTTCAAGATAGATTGTACCTTCTGGCCTCTTTTTCAAACCCTCCTGGGCCTTCAGTAGTTTAATATAAGCATCTATGACCTGCATACATTTCGTCATTAGAGAGAAAGAGCATTGAAGTTGGCAATGTTTGATTGAGTATTATGACTTGCATCTGTTACCTCGCCAGACAAGTATTCATATGGCTGAAAAAGACATTCCATGTGGTTTCTCGACACTAGAACATCATCTATGAGCACAAGCTCCTCATTCCCAGGTGAAGATGGATTTTTTTGACAGATTCAATTATGGCTCTATCAGTATCGGTACAAACATAATATAAAAAAGAGGATTAAATTAAAGTATGCAACAATAGTTAGCAGTTTTTCTAGGTTAATCCATCAAAGAGAAAATATCAATACCTTCTGAGGCAACCGGTGAAGACATAGATTTTTTTGGGTTTATTTTGTACAATTATGTTTTTTAAAAGTCCTTTTTCTCCCGTCGGATCTACCCTAGAAGTTGATAGGGCCTTTTCATCATGGGCCGTGCTAAAGCCCTGGTCGACTGGTAGAGCTTCGTGGGTAACTTCTGTACTCATGCTTTCTTGCAACCATCTAGAATCATTCATAGGCTCACTGAAATTTTCTGTTTGTACAATATCTTCTAAGGGGCCTCCATTTTTCTTCCAAACTTTTGCATCTAAACTATCCATCGAGACCTAAAAAGACGTACATATAATTTTTTTAAAATAATTAAGGTATATGAAACATAGATGTCATTAATTCAGAACTGAAATGATATATAGCTATATAAAATTATATTGTCTTTGTTCTACTTTGTTTTTAAAAAAGTATTATATACTCTCAGTTTAGTTTTCTAAGCACTAATAATGAAATCATTTAGATTTGTCCTGTTCAATTCAATAACCAAACAAAAATAGTGATAATTATTTAGCTGATTTAATCAAACCCTAATTATGATGTATTTTTATATAGCTATATATCATTTCAGTACTCACACCAGGCAGATTTGCCTCGGTGTAAAGCAGACATTAGTCATATGCTGGTGCAAGGAACCCCCCTGCGATCAGCCAAATAGCTAGATCCATTCAACGACAGAAACATTTCACTATGATTCAAATCGAAGTGCGAAACAAATAGCACAACTCTAAACCACACGACCACAGTAGAGGACAAGGTACCGGCACAACAGCATAGTGGACTACACTGTACCTTCCCTTTCATCTTCAGCGTCACGGCTTTCACTAAAGATGGAGGGCATGCAACGAAAAAGGGAATAGCATAGATCGGTAAATGGGACACCTGTACTCGCTCCATCCAGGAGCAATATATTCCAAATCTATCACACCGAAAATTGCCACAAGATTGAACAACTAACCGGCATACGTTTGTGATAAAAGGTATAACCCGCCATCGAACCAACAGATTCTCTTGCGTTCCAGGCCCGTCAACTCGGCACCACACGAGTTTGGTGAGCGCAACTAGACAAGTTTGGTTTGGGTTTGCTAATCCAATGCACAGTAAAGAAACAACACAAGCACTGGAGACAATAACAAATAAAGAAATGCATCAGGGTAGGATGGGATTCACTAACAGGGTGAACGTTTGTGGAAGACAGAAGATATTGGAAGCTCCTCGTGGCAGTCCGCAGTCCTCCTCAAGGGCACAGCAAGACGGCAAAGGCGATGGCGGCAAGCGACGACGATGGCGACGCGCTATGGCGAAGCACAGCCGGTGCGCGAGGGAGGGCGCGAGGGCGGAGGCCGGTGCAAGTGAGGGTGAGCTCAGCTGACAAGGGTGGGCGCTATGACGAGGCCATAGGATTTATAGCAGAGGATTGATAGCAGTCTTTCTCTTTCCTTTTGTCTTAATTCTCTTTCCTACTGTGTTAATTTTCTTTTCTTGGAGCAAGGCGCAGGGGAACTCCGCCTATGGTGGGACGCCTTTGGTGTTCCAGCATAGCAGCTCCCAAGCCCTGGTAAAGGAGGAGGGTTGTGTTAGGCGTGGCGAGCCAACGTAAAAACTTAGCCACTTTAATGGAGATGAAAACCGGTTGAGATGGTTTGGACATGTGCAACGGAGACCCCTAGAGGCACCGGTGCGTAGTAGAATCCTAAGCCAGGATAGTAACGTGAAGAGAGGCAGAGGAAGACCGAAGTTGACTTGGGTAGAGGCAATAAAAGGAGATTTGAAAGGATGGAATATACTCAAAGACTTAGCCTTAGATAGGAGTGCTTGGAAGACAGCTATTCACGTGTCTGAACCTTAATTGCTTCTGATGGGTTTCAACTCTAGCCTACCCCAACTTGTTTGTGACTTAAAAGGCTTTGTTATTGTTGTTGTTGTTGTTGTGGAGCAAGGCGCAGGGGAGCCGGGAGAGGCTCGTTGCAATGTATGTTGGTGTATGCAAACATGCAATGTGTATATGGATAGCATAATAATTTTTACTTCTTATTTTGCCGTGATTCCTTTATCACATGACATGCAATATTCAATCAAATAGGAGATGTAATCGAGCACTATTAGGAAAGTAGATCAATGGACTGTACAATGGCACTATATATGGATTGAGAGCTAGATTGTTTTTTAAGTCGGAATCCTATAGTGAAACAACTTGATGATGACAGTCAAATAGTTGTCAGAAAGCATATAACAGCAACCTATAGTGTTCTACAACTATGCTGATTCAGGTTCCCTGTAAAACTCTAAGTTTACTATCCGGAACTACATACAAATTTGTGATATTATGATATATAAATGCCATGTACAGTTGCAGTGCTCGTGCGATGCAATGGGTGCAATAAGAAATTTCATGAGGTAATTAGATGGGTTCGTATGTTGCCTGTAGCCTGCTAATGGCATAGAACCCACTCCATTTCCACCCAACCCCAAATCAAATGAATTTATTTTCCTAACCCATCCCATCCAGAAAACAATTAATTATCCCACATCTCGCATGCTAACCAACCTCTGTTTCATTGTGTCCACACATGAATCGCATATTGGCTTCCTACTTTTTCAGAGTGACATGCTGATCAAAGAATGGTTCAACAACAAAGTTACATGGATCAAAGCACATGATTCAGCAACAAAATTACAGGGATCAAAGTACTCGATTCAGCAACAAAATTACAGGGATCAGAGCATATGATTTGCTAAAATATCTGATCAGGAAGGTGGGCATCTACTTGAGAAATGTACATGTAAACTTGCGATACGCTTTAACCCAGATTGCAAAATGGAGCCAATGTTTTTTTTTGTAAGTTCGATGCACACAAAGCAGGGCGATTACACATCATCAACGAAGCCCCATCTGCATTTTTCCAGAAGTGGTTCGAAGGTGGATCATTTTTCTTGAGCTACAATAGTGGAAGCTAAAGACCACGATGATCAAGAAAAAAAACCCTGAAAACTACCACAACAGCCAATTACAATTATTGTTCTCTTGGCAAGCGTCACGGCATGAGATATACGCCCTGTTCATCTGGGCTTGTTTGGCTGATAAGCCGTGGCTGAATGTACTGTTGGCTAATTTGGTGTGAGAGAAAAATACTGTTCCTTGTTGCTCTAATATGTCAGGAAAATTTGCATGAAAGATATCACACATAGATATGTCACGAAAAACAAAACCCATGGTCAAAGTCAAATAGATAAAAGTAGCACAATAATTTTATTGTTCAAGTTCACCGAAGAAACCATTGCTGAGAAGCTAATGCAAGCAAAGAAAATGAAGTGCCAAAATCAGAACTGTGGTGCTCCTTCCCATTACTTATAGTGTATCCAAGTTGCTTATTTTCCTCACCATCCTACGCTGTAGTAGGAAGGGTGGGAGGATTGATAATTTGATATGTTAATTAGTTTCTACCAGCAGTCTGTGTACATAAATGTTGAACATTATTGTAGACCATGTGTCATGTAAATCACACAAGAATACAACTATACAACGGGTCATAGTAAATTAGTCCTCCATGGCGCAAACAAGCTCACACTATCGATTGAAATGGCTCTACCAATCAATTTCCAATGAACTCTTCTACCTCAGCACCTAGCATTGTGCATGACGTGTAGGATCTAAACTCAGACCACACTACTTACCTATGGAATATTAGAGGCAACATAGAACCCTGAATTAAGCCCCTAAGACTATTGAGTGCTAACAGTAGAACGATCAATGCAATTTACTTGACCCAAATTAAGCCAAGGTAGGACACATAAATTAGTATGGTCTGTTATTTTTGGGAATTAGAGTTCAGAGGTTCATTTACAGGGTAACTTAGTATCACCAGAGAGCATTGACTCTAAATTTCTTGTTTCAAGCAAACCTTTTCTCATTCAGGTGAAATGATAATACATGGCACATGCATCATAATGTCGTTTTCCTACATGTGCAAGGGACCAACAAATGAAAAGCAAGAAATTCCAGATTAAGGGGCCCCAACCTAGTAATCATCTACCGAACCCAGTAACCCTCTATTTGAGCTGAAGCTAAGCACAACAGTTGGTTCCTGAAAATCCTCAACATCATAGTAGAATTTACACTATGAAATCTGAACTCTGGAGCATCAAGAGTTTAGCTAATCTACAGCTAAATTTATCAGCGTGATTGCTACAGCTACCAGAACCCAGGCAGGGTGATTATGTGATGGAATGCTTACTTGCAGGTGTCGTCGCTCTTGCCACCGCACTGCTGGATGAAGGATTTGCTCTTGAACTTGGCAGCCAGGCAAGGCAGCGACCTCGCGTACTTTGCACTCGGCGGGCACCTGCAGTGCGTCGATGCCTGCCTGGATCTGCGCCTAGTCGAGCCCATGTCCCGCGGTGTCGAAGAAGGCGAACATGCCGCGGATCCGCGGCTCCTGCTTGACCTCCGTCTCATGGAGCACGAGACACAAATGCTCTTACGGGCCATGCCTTCCGCGCCCACTCGAACCCCGCTCCGCCCCCCACGGCCACGGCTGCTACAGCATGGCGCTGGGATGCCGGCGCTGCCGCTGGGATGCGGATGCTGGCGCTCCCTTCACCACAATTTAGTATCACACTAAGATGACTCACTCGATGTGTATTCTCTTGCCTTTGCTCTATCAAAGCCCATGGGTGGTGTTCTCACTCCTTAGGTCTCCTTTGGATTGAAGGGTAGAAAAGGATAGGAAAAGAAAAAGTGCACCACTTCTTCAATCCTATGAAATTAGAAACATAGTAATATGGACTTGAAAGCCCTTTGGCAACAACTCAGGAAAACCAAAGGAATTGTACAACGTGCTGCTCTCAATTTGAATTAAACTGGCTCGTTCTCAATTTGGCGGCTTGGCCCATTCATGACGCACAGCCGAAGGCCTCAGGAGATAGGGCAAGCAGACTAGCAGTAGCAGAGCAGTGACGGCGCACTCCCAGCCTCCAATCACGCTCGCACGGCGGCTCCGCCCCGCGCGCCCGCGCCACTCGCCCGCTCGGCTGGCCGCCCTCTGGTCCTCCATAGCTGCACGCCGGCGACGCGCGCGATCCGCTGGGTCCATTCCTTCCTCCGCGCCCGCGCTGCTCCGCCAACCGCCCCACCGTTGGCCCGCTGCCGCTCCGCCGACCGCCCCCGCTGTTGGCCCGCGCCGGGACCGCGAATCGATTGAAGTCCAGACGGCGGCCGTGCCCTGTGCGCCAAGGCCCGGTGGCCTCCTACTGCAGAGAGGGAAGTGATGCGCCTATATGCACACGCGCCTGTACAAACCACATCCTGTTCATCTCTAAGCACACAGTTCATCTCCAAACACAACGAGCTCACCTCCAAACTCTTCAAGAGCTCTGACCAGATACTTCATATGGTGAGTCATGAATCTCATAATTTTGTTTTTGTTCTGTACACGTCAATCTTGCTAGTGACATTTATTTGTTATTTCACATCTCGAATACCAGGTGGTAGCCATCTGTTTATAGTGAATCTGCAACATATTTGAGTACCCTACTTGGTTTTCCACTGTGTTAGTCATGGATCCAAACTATCGACGCCGATCACAAAATGAAGATGAATTCATGTTATTTGTTCTCCCTACCATAGAAGCAACTTGGCTCTTTTGTTTCTTATTACCACATCGAGAATCAGATGCCTCTCTATGCATGTGTGTGGAGGTAGGTGCAGCTTGTGGCTGATGGACATGATTAGATGAAGGCCGCGAAAAATCAAAGTTTGCCTCCTCTGTCTCTTCATCAAGATGAAACTGTAGATCTGATTCACCCGGAGCATTTAACGTTGGAGACGGTGAGTCATATGTGTCAGCCACTTGTGTTGTTTGTGTTGATGGAACTAACACATTCTTTGCTTTGCTTGCATAATGGTCCATGCCTTGACGGGTTCTCCCTTCGGCATGACGACCTGCAGAATGACGTGCAACAAAAAAAAATGATTACCAAATTTAAGAAATCAAAGAGACATGCAAATAAAATTGTGCAGAATATGTAAGCCTCACCATCATACAGTGAAGATAAAGCATCATAATATGGGAATGACCTATCTTGCCAATGGAAAGCGTCCTTATTGTTGTTGCGAGCAGTAAAACTAGACCAAACACTTGCAGGCGCAGTCACCATCATTCGCTCAGTATCCCATCCAAATCCACTTTCAGCCAGCAAATCTTTAACACTTCGGTATGCTTTCTTCAAGTCTTGCTCCTGCTGTTTGACTTGGTTAACAGAATATGATGTACCAAACTTTGCATTCACGCGACGAACAATGTTTGTCCATGCGTCCTTACTCCAAGCATTATGTGTTCTGAAACCCGGCACATCATGTTCTTTTAAAAGATCAATAAGGAATAGTTTCATTTGGTGACTCCATCTGGCTCTCTTTGTGGTCCCCAAATTCACTGCAGTTCAGAAGATTACATAGACTCTGTTTCATCAGGAATATGCAACTATAAATTATAGGCAGGGTACTGGTGCATCTGAAATGAGAAGAAGCATCACCTAGTTCCTGGGTATTTTCTGTAGACCAATGCTCATCGTCAGCATAATCAGACCATTGTGATTGGGAGTGGTGTTGTTGTTTATCAGACAAAGTGCGTTGATCAACCACATTAATCTGAGTGGATCCTTTCCACGGCATCAGTACCCTTGCAATAAAATAAAGTATGTTATATGATTTAGGCATATAAAATATGGTAGAACATACTACTTTGCATCAGTTCATTCTGCTTCTTGTAGCTGCCGGCTCCCGACGCTAGTAACAGCCCGGCCAAGCCTGTGGCCAGCGGCACTTGCTGTTGCGCCTCTTGTCTGCTCGCCGCAACCATCCCCCACCCCCAAATCCTCCTCTTCCATGGCTACAACCTGCTAGCGAGTGGCGCTGTGGCGGCCTGCTGGGTGTGGCGAGCGGCACGGCATGGCGGCGCCGGTGCGCGGCATGGTTAGGGCTGCGGCGAGCGGCGTGGCGGCAGTAGCTGCCGCTGGGGCCTCGTCCTCGGGATGCCGTGCGGTCGCATGGGGAGCTCCGCCTCCGACTCGCTTCTGATGGGGAAGAATAACGCACTTGTAGATGGGGAAAAGGAAAGTACCTGGATGACGGAGGAACTCGCGGATGCACGATTCCGTACGGCGTTGTCGCTGCGAGTGCCGGACTAGGTGGCCGGAGATGGGTTCCGGCGGATTGGGTTGCCGACATTGAGGCAGGCCGACTCGATGGTCTGCGATGGGAAGGACCTCGCGCCATCTCGTGCAGAGGTGACGGCGCCGCCGACGCCTCAACCGGGGATGGCGGGGCCATCACCTACGCCGATGACGGTGTCCGTCAGCCGTCCCGGCGATGGGGCGGCCGCTGTTGCCCCTTGGCTTGCGATGGGGATTGGGGAAATGTTCTGTTTCGTCTGGGCTGGAAATGTTCTGAAAGACACAAGCGCGAAGCGAATCGAGCGAGCGGGAGACGAGCGAGGGCATGAGGCGCGCGAGCTGTCCTTTTCGCGCCAGGAAAGTTTTCAAGAGCTTCGATCTCATTTTTGATTTCCTGTAAAACGAGGCCACAGGAATAGAATCCTAAGAATTTATTCCTTTGTTTCTCCAGTGAACCAAATGGCTCCATAGGAATAAAACCATAGGAATCTCAATCCTCCAAAATTCCTTTGCCATTCCTTCAAACCAAAGGGGGCCTTATTGTTTCACCCTGACACTTATCATTATGACCAAACACAGACATGTTGCTTAGCAACCTTTCACCCAAATATGGCTACAACCTTACCAAAGAAAAAAATTACGGCTACACAAAATTTCCTTTAAATATAGTAAGTTTGAAGAAAAATTTTCAATAAAGCACCTTATAGAAATAAAGTTTGAGTTCATATAAATTCTCTAAATTGCTATGGAATTGCTTGCATAGAAATTTTATCAAAAGGTTGAACCCTATGAAATGTTTTCTATGTGTATGTCTCTTTTTTATTGAAATTTCTGTGTTTTTCCTGTGCTCTATTTACAAACCTTTTGCATTTTTTTTAAAATTCAGAAGAATTAGCACAATCTATTTCTATATTTTTCCTATTTTTATTTTTATTTTATTTTTATTTTTATTATGTGTGCTGGAAAGTAGATTTTGGAGGAAAACTTTTTTTTTTTTGAAACCGGAGGAAAACTCTAGTTTTGAGGAGCGGAGAATCCGTCAGACGCCGGTTGTTTCGGTGGTGGGCGACTGGCGAAGCCTAGAAACCAAGACAGAGACACAACGGTTTTGCTTTACTCCTACAATCGGAGCTCGGAGGTCTCAGTCGAGAGGGTTAATCCCGTCCCGTTCCACCGTCGTCCAACCGCCAGCGGGATGGCGGCTGCCGCGACCGCAGCCACCGCCGAGATCGTGACCGCCGTGACCGCAACCACCTCCGAGATGGAGGCCACCGCGACCGCCATCACCACCGCAGCCGCCGCCGGACCGCCTCCAGCCATCCCCGGTGAGCGCCCTCGCTTTGGAGTTCGGTTCTCTCTCCCGTTTGTCTCCTGCGCATCTGCGGTGGTTTGGGGAGGCATCGTCGCTTCGTGAGGTAGGACATAGGAGGGCTTTTTGGTCGAGCACTTGGCGGCTGGCGCAGGGTGTCCATGCCCCCAAAGCGTAGTGTCTCCGGTGGCCTCGTAGCTTCCTATAGAGAGAGCGATCGGCGATTGCGTGCCGTCAGGCGTGCCCCACCTCTCGCGAGGGTGGTTAGCGCTTAGGGGAGAGGAAGTAGAGCAACCGAATCGAGGTGTAGGGGGGATGCGGATGGAAGAAATGCGAGGTAGAGTCGAGGCAAAGTTTGTGAGGTGGATTGGTCTTATGAAACCTCTGGATTGAATGGATCTAGTGAGCTTGTGGGAGCTCATCTTACGTTTAGTATCAGTGCCAGTCTAGCTGGATTGCGTGGCAATTTATTATTGTTTTTTCCGTTTGGAACGTACGATTCATCGTGTTTGTCTTAATTTGTTTGTTCTGTGGCAGTTTGCGTTACCTATCCTTGCAGGGAATGTCTTATGGTGTTTGATTGTGTGGCAATTTGTTGGTTGTTTTTCCGCTTGAAACGTACAATTCATCATGTTTCTCTTAATTTGTTAGTTTTGTGGCGGCTGGCGTTACCTATCCTTGCAGGAAATGTCTTATGGTGGTCGGTATGTGCTTGTCTATGATTAGCAATTTTGCATGACTTTTTGCATTTTTTTTTGTCAGTTCTCTCCTTTCAAGTTGTAAGAAGGTATTTGACTGTATCCTCTTTTTACTGTCAGTCTGTCTCTATGTTATGATCTTAGTACTGTGTTTTTTAAGGGATAACATTGTACCTCCATCAAGTACAAGGGCACCCTTAGTGTGTGACTAAACAGAAGTATGGGAGTTCGCCAAGTGTGTGACTAAACAGAAGTATGGGAGTTCTCCAACATGGCTGGTGGTTCGATGACCATCTAAATACTGTCTGTTGGGCCCCCACATAAGGAAACAAAACGACAAAAATGTGCATTCTCTCCTGTCCCACCACCTTCCCGATGCGTTTCTTTCTTCCCACAGTGCGTTTCCTCTCCATCCGCAGCGTAGATAATTTTTTCTGTTCGCCTTAGTTTGAACCATCTGCTGCAGCTGATTTTGCATCAGACATGTAGAGTTCCACCGCTGCAATGTGGTCTGTTTGTTTATGCCAGCTGTGGTTCAATTTTGCACAGCACTGGAGCTGCTCTTACTCCTTGAACTGATCTGGTGTAAGACTGACAAATGATCATTGGCCTTTGTTACCTGTATTTGTGCAGAAGGCACATTCCCTCCAGGCCTCCACTTGCATGTGCTGTTCCACTGCCTGTTTGTATGATGCTGTCTCATCATCATTGTTTAACTCTATCCATCCCAGCTGGAATTATATTTTTGACCTTTACTGATTCAAGTTCGAGTCAGTCGAAGACTCACTTTGTGTAATTCTGCTTTAAATGGTACTCCATTTCAAATTATAAGACATTTTGGCTTTTCTAGACAAATTGCTTTAACTATGTATGTAGATATTGTTAGCTAATCTACTGCCACCTTGTGTGAACACAGCAGAGGAAGGCGGCGCCGACTTAGCCGCCTGCTGTGTGTGAACACAGCAAGGGAAGGCGGCGCCGACTTTGCCCCCTCTTTGTGATCTGATGGCAGCTGCAGTGGTGTAGGCGCCGCACGGCTCACTCACAAAGACCTTGTAGGGGCTTGGCAGCAGTCGAGCCTGTCGAAGTTATCTAGTTCTTTGTGCATGGGCGATGCGCACATGGACTAGATAGTTAGAGTTGTATAAATAGACATGTATGGCAACTCAAGAAAGAGAGCTCAGATTTGCCATCACACATGACGGGGCCTCGGCCAACGCCGTTGTCTTGTATTGTGCGTGCTTGCTCTCTTTCTCCTTCTTCTTCTAAGCTCGTCCGTAGTGTGTGGGTACGGACAACGCCAGAGACGTGGTCTCTTGACGCGGCTAGTGGGTGCTCGGCAACACTAGCGGCGTGCTTTCGGCGAGACCGTCAAGTGCTCCACTCACGAGCCGGTGCTCGGCAAGATCGGGTGGAGTGGTTCACCGTCGTGAGCGGTGATCTGTGAGACCAACGGAGTGGTCTGGAGGCCATCTCGGTGGTCGGGAGGCTAATCGTGGGCCAATAAGTGGTATCGAGCCGTATAAGCGCCGTCGTCATTCTAACCGATGGCGATGACAAAGCGATTCGGAGTTGGGCGATGGCGCGTAACCGCTGTGGTCGCCCACCACTACCGGATGTAGTTGTTCTTGACGGTGCGGGAGGTCGGCGGCACCACTTGGCCGACGCCGACTCGCACTAACTATGGAGAGTGGTCGGTGACCATGAAGGTCAAGCTCGAGAGCCCGGCGGCACGGAATGTCATGACAAGGGCACCGCGTGGAAGAAGACGACATGTCGGCGTTGGAGGCTATACTTTCTTTGCTGTCTGCGTGAGTCTGTGGAACCGTTGGGGACGAAAGGCTCACTAAGGAGGCGTGGGAGGCCATTGCGGCGATCTGCGCGTCGGTTCGGATCGCGCGCAAAGAAGGCGACGGCCCGGCTTTCAAGCGAGAGTACGCAAACCTCAAGTTCAAGGATGGTGAAACAGTGGAGGACTTTTTTTCCTCCGCTTGCGCAGACATCATCGAAGTCGAAGAGCCACGACGTCACCATCGACGAAGAGAGAGGCGGTCTCAAGTTCCTCCACTCCATGCCAACCAAAGTACATCCGATCGCTTCTCTCCATAGAGACGATCTTTGGACTTGTCCACCCTCACCATTGAGGATGTGGCGGCCGCCGTCTGCAGGCGGTGGGACGGCCGGGCAGGCGGCGACAACAACGAAGGACAACGGAAACTCCTGGCGACGGAAGAGGATTGGGTCGCTCGGCGAAACTCCGGAAGGCGACCTCCTCCGGTCAGCGGTGGCAAGGGCAAGCATCGAGACGGGCTTCTTCGGAGAAGAAGCACATCGACTCAACGCCAACGCCCGTCGGTGTTGCGGGAAGATGGGCTATTGGGCACGGAGTGTCCAAATCGCAAGAAGGAAAAGAAGGCTCGAGCTCACTGGCGAAAAGCCGATGATGAGGATGAGGCCACTATCCTTATGGCGACGTTACGTAATCGCACGCACGCACGCCGAGGCCATGGAGAGGGAAGAGGCGACGACGGTGGAAGGACACGGGAAGGCCTTGAAGATCGTCAACCTCGACGAACCACACGCCCAAGTTCACCTCGGGCGTGTGGGCGTCGACGAGAGAGCGGCCGTGGTATCCGGACTCGGTGCCGTGAACCATATGGCGGGCTCCAAGGACTCTTTTCTCCGAGCTCGACGGGCGATGTTACTGCAGACGGTGAAGTTTGGTGACGGCTCAAGGGTGGCTATCCAAGGGCGCGGCACCATCATCTTCAGATGCCAGAACGGGGAGCACCGCGCGCTAACGGATGTATACTCCCGCAGTTGCGTTCAAAGATCATCGGCGATTGGCGGTGGATGAGCGCAGTAGCGAGGTTTCGATCAAGGGCGGCGTTCGAGGATCGAGAGACCGAAGCGGCGACTTTCGCCAAGGTGAAGAGGTCCTCGAATCGGTTGTACCGCCGACCGAAGGTAGAGCGACCGTTTTCTGGCGGCAAGGCACTCCGAGGCGTGGATGTGGCATGCCCGGTTCGGACATCTCGGCTTTTGACGCGTTTGGTCGGCTTTGGGAAGATGGTCGAGGGCTACCCCACATCAAACACGGAGGCGAAGCGCGGTGATGTACGTTACTGGCCGGGAAAAGAGGAGGCTACCTTTCCCAAAGGCGGCCAAGTATCGCGCTGAAGGAAGCTCTTGAGCTAGTTCACGGCGACCTCGCGGGCCGATCACGCCGCTACATGCGGTGGTCGGCGGTACTTCCTCCTACTCGTGGGCGATTGCGATGCGCCACATGTGGTCGCAACTCGACGAGCAAGGACGACGGCGGCGGTGGCGATCAAGAAGTTCAAGACGCGCGCGAGGCCGAGAGGCGGCAAGAAGCTCGCGCATCGAGGGATCGGACCGGGTGGTGAATTTTGCCGGTGGAGTTTGCTTACGCTACGATCGCGCGGATCGGTGTGGGACATCACACCGCACCGCATTTCGCCACAAATGAATGGCGTGGTGGAGCGGCGGCGGAACGAGCGGTGGTTGGCATGGCCCGATCCATGATGAAGGCCCAAAGGATCTTTGGTAAAATTCGGGAAGAGGCGGTGACCACGGCGGTGTTCATCCTCAGCTGCGCTCCAACCAAGGCCCTAACGGGCAAGACGCCGTTCGAAGCTTGGTACGGGAGCAAGCCGAACGTGTCATTTCTCCAGACATTCGGTTGCATCGCCACGCCAGAAGAAGATGAAGCCGAACCTCACCAAGTTGGAGGATGTGAGCACACCCATGGTGTTCTGGGCTACGCGGAGGGTACCAAGGCGTCATCGGCTCTATGACCCACGCGGAGACAAGGTGATTGTCTCTCGCGACGTTGTGTTCAACGAGGAGGCGGCTTGGGAGCGGAACAGCCGAGCACGGGGAAGCAGGAGGCTTCCCAACACCTTCGTCGTCGACCACTTGGTCATCCACGGCGGTGGGAGACGCTGCTGAGCAGTGCCACGCACTCCGGGAGGAGCGCCGAGCACTCCCGATGCAGAGAGTCGAGCACTTCGGGCAAAGTCTCGAAGCACTTCGGGAGGGATACCGAGCACTCCGGGAGGAGTGTCGGGCATTTTGGAGGGATGCCGAGCACGCCAGAGTGGAGCTGGGGAGGTTTTGCGGTGGTGGCGACCACTTCAGACGGGTGCGAAAGCACTCCGTGCAGAAGTCAAGACGTCTTCATCGTGGTCCCAACCACTCCAAGATCGAGGCTAGGCACTCCTGCGGTGGCCGAACACCGCAGGAGTTATGACGAAAGCGCCGAAGCGATGCCGAGCACGCCGGGTGGGTGCTATCACGAGGCACCCCGGCGGAAGAAGGAACTCCATCACTCCCGATCGAGTTCGCCTCACCTCCAAGTGACATCACCGAGTTCGTGGGCGCCTACCACGAAGGTGAGGAGTTGAGGTTCCGCAGTCGGGACGACATCGTTGGCACACAGTCCCTCGTGTTGGCGGGTAGGTCGCTCAACGACGCAGAGCCGCTACTCGTCGTATGAGAGGAACCACTCCACGTTCGCGCTAGCCGAAGCGCGATGGAAATCTGGCGACGGACGATCTTTGGAGGAGATGAAGGCGATCGAGGAAAACGAGACTTGGCGATTTTGTCGATCCACCTCCGTGATGTCGTCCGATCGGCTGAAGTGGGTGTACAAAGTCAAAAGGACGAGCTTCGGCGCCATTGTCAAGCACAAAGGCGCCTCGTCGCTTCGAGGCTTTTGTCGGTAGCGAGGGCATCGACTTCGAGGAGGTCTTTGTGCCAAGAAGCGCGTGAGATGGAGTCGGTCCGTTTGCTACTTGCTTTGGCGGCGAAGAAAGGGTGGCGCGTCCATCACTTGGACGTTAAATCGGCCTTCCTCAACGGCGAGTTTGGTGGAAACGGTCTTCGTTAGGCAACCTCGTGGTGGTTTTGTCAGGGAGAGAGGAGCATTGTGGTGCTCGATCGCAGAAAGCGCTCTACGGGCTGCGGCAAGCCCCTCGAGCATGGAACGCCAAGCTTGACGCCACGCCGGGCGAACTTGGGTTTCAAAGGTGCGCGAATCGAGCACGCGCTTCTACACGTGACGACGGGGAAGGAAGAGCTCGTGGTCGGCGTGTATGTGGATGACTTAATCGCCATCGCGCGCGCGCGCACGGAGGATATCAACGACTTCAAGCGAGAGATGGCGGCTCGTTTCCGAATGAGCGATCTCGGCGCTCTCTCCTACTACCTCGGCATCGAGGTGAGGCAGATGTGGAAGGAGGAATTCACGCCGGGCAAAGCGTGTATGCCTCAAGTCGTTGGAGAGGAGCGGCATGGTGGAGTGCACGCCATGCGTGACTCGATGGAGGAGCGGTGAAGGCGGCGAAGGCCCGACCGCTGCTGGGCGAAGGTGGATGCAACACTCACCGGAGCATCGTCGGCGGATCTGCGCTACCTAGTCCACACGAGGCGGACATTGCTTTCGTCGTGGGCTACGTCGGCCGCTTCATAGAGAATCGAGAGAGGATCATCGGGCTGCGGTGAAGCGGCTACTACGCTACGTCAAGGGGACGGTGAATCATGGAATCATCTTCCCAAAGACCCGGCGGGAGTAAAGGCTGTAGCTCACGGTATTCGCCGATGCGAGACATGGCGGGGACATCGACGGACGACGGAGCACCTTTGGCGTGCTCGTCTTCCTCGGGTCGACCCCAATTTCATGGTCACACATCAAGCGCGAAGATGGTGGCGCTATCTACGTGCGAGGCGTAGTATGTAGCGGCGCCACAATGACGTGCCAAGTTGTGTGGCTACGGACGCCGCGGCGGGCGAGCCGGCCGGCGTGGAAGCTCACCCACCAAAGACGCGATGGTGGACAACCGACCCGCCATCGCCCTCGCGAAGAATCCGGTTCGCACGACCGGAGTAAACACATCGACGTAAAGTCCACTTCCTCGTGGACCGTGTTGATGGAGGGCAAATCGTCATCGAGTTCGTCGAAGCGCTTTCGGCAACTCGCAGAGCGTCCTCACCAAGCCGCTTCGGACGACTTCGACTCACACGGAGTGAAGGAGATGATCGGCATGGAGGGGTACAAGGGTTAGCGATAGGATTAGGGAAGATTGTTAGCTAATCTCATCGCCACCTTGTGTGAAACACAAGAGAGAAGGCGGCGCGCGCCGACTTAGCCGCTGGCGTGTGTGAACACTGACAAAGGAAGGCGGCGCCGACTTTGCCCCGCTTTGTGATATCTGATGGCAGCTGCAGTGTGTAGCGCCAGACGGCTCACCTGCAAAGATCTTGTAAAGCAAGGTGGGCTTGCGCAGCAGTCGCCACTGTCGGGTTATCTGAATTCTTTAGTTGCGTGCAAAGATAGGCGCGCACATGGACTAGATAGTTAGAGTTGTATAAATAGACATGTATGGCAACTCAAGAAAGAGAGCTCGATTTGGCATCACACAGATGGGGGGCCTCACCGGTATTTGTTGTCTTGTATTGTGCGTGCTTGCTCTGTTTCTCCTTCTTCTTCTAAGTTTGTCCGTAGTGTGTGGGTACGGACAACGCCCAGACGTGGTCCTTGCACGGCTAGTGGGTGCTCGGCAACACTAGCGGCGTGCTTTCGGGCGAGATCGGTCAAGTGCTCCACTACTTTGAGCGGTGCTTGGCAAGATCGGCTGGAGTGGTTCACTGTCGTGAGCTGGTGATCCTGTGAGACCAACGGAGTGGTCTGGATGCCATCTCGGTGGTCCAACAGATATAGTGTATATCTAAGTGCATAGCAAAAGCTATGTATCTAGAAAAAACAAAATTTCTTATAATTTGGAATGAAGGGAGTAACTTTTTAAATATTTCTAATAGTTGCAGAAGCCATGGTGTTACTGATGGCATATTGGCATGCATCGGATTGATGACACATGTTATTATTCATAGGTGGTTGAGAAAGTTGGTGCACATTAGGATGGGCCAGGTCAAATATCATGGCTTGAAGGGGATTAAGGTATTAGATTATTAGAAGGTGGAGATGACAGAACTAGAGGGGTTGGGACATTGCAAAATGCAAATATTGTGAGAGATGTATTTCTTTGAATAAAACTTGCATACATAGCCTGATTGTAGAGTATTACAAGCTTCCTATGATATGGTCTCTATCTCTTACACTTCTATGAGAGATGTATTTCTTTGAATAAAACTTGCATCCACAACCTAATTTTAAGTATAGCAAGCCTCCTATGATATGGTCTCCACCTCTTACACTTTTGTAAATTTATCTCAAACTTATCATCGTATCAGTTTTATTTTTACTGGTCAATCATGAACTCTTAACTTGTCTATTGTTCTTCCTCTTCCTGATTGAACCCTCCTATACTGTTGTGTAGTGTCCAACCCACCAACATCTTCCTCTGCTGCAATTGTTACCTATGCTCCAGGTGTGGTTTAAGAATCTGACTTGGGCTCTAGTACCTAATTTGGCTTGCAAATATCACTTGAATCCAAGTTAGTAAAAGTTTTTAGAACCAGGTGTTTGGATAACAAGTAACACTGACTGGCACTATGCGTCCCATCTGATCTTTTGGGCTAACCAATTTGATAACTAACTAGACATTTAGCAGCCTTTTGTTCCTCCTACCAACTCCACCTGTCCTCAACATGCAGCAGCAGAGTTTGATCATTTTGGTTGTGAATTTGAAAAAAAATGCATGCTTTTTTGAACTGTTTTTCTTTAATATGTTCTTGTTTATAGGAAGATCAAATAAAATAACTAGAATTAATGCATGTTTTTAGTTTAGATACATTGATCTTCAATATCTCAATATGCCTGTATAATTTCTGCTGGTGTACTCTGATACTTCTGTGAAGAATGAAATTGTCTTACACTATTATTTGTTTTTTTTGGATGGGTGGTTTTTTCTTATACAGAGAAATATATGCATAAAAACCGCTTGCAATCATTTGCTGATCGAATGTACAAGAAGCCACCAATCTACAAGGTTGAGTCTGAAGGCGAGTCTCATCAGCCTAAGTTCAGATGCACAGTGGAAGTGGGCGGTCAACAGTTCTCATCAGCTGGTAGTTTTGATCGCAAGAAGGAAGCAGAGCAGGATGCTGCTAGAGTTGCTTATGAGATCTTGGCAGCAGTTGGAGAGGATGACATTAAAGAGGCATTTGGGCTGATTGATCAGGTACACCTTTTGAATCTGGTCCCTGTTCTGGTCTCAGCATCTTTTCACCTCATGAGCAATGATTGTTCATGTATTTGATGTGTATTATGTTATACATAATTTTGATGTATAACATAATATCTCAGTGCATTTGAACATAACCAGGTATCATAAAAAAAGAACATACACCTTCTAAATCTATCATGAAGCGATTCTGGTGGACGCTGCAAAATTTTAACTGTTGAGCTGTAAATACTTTTCATCAATAGCGCCTTGAAGCCAAATTCCGTTACAAAGATTGATCGCAATAACAGGCAAGGGTTCAGATAAGGAGGGCGACAGCCCCCCTGGGTGCCAAATCCGCTTTGTTTTCCAGCCCACTAAAATCAGTTAGTAATTTGCTTATCCAGGAACTGTATCATTGTAAGATAGTGACATGAGTTTGTTCGATTAAACTTGTTGCGCTTATTCTTTTTCCTGTTTTCTTTTGGCACATCTTTGTAACTCTGTTTTTTTCTTGCATACTAATAGCATGTTTGGTGCCAATTTAGTAGTATGCATGCAGTTGTGCATTTTTTCGGGTGGGAACACAGGTGCCAGTGCTCTGTGAGGGGTTGAATGCCTTTGTTAAGTTTCTAGCTTGGGAACACAAGTGTATTTTTGTGTGGGCTGGTGTGGGTGTGGTGTTTGAGTGTTTACTGCGTTGTACCTCTCTCCTCTTACATACGCAAAAAAGAAAAGTAAATTTATGTTGTATGATATATTTTCCAGATGCTATTGTTCAGATAACATTTTCATTAATATGGCATGACCATCTACCAATATTTTGTTGGTTGCAAGCTCTCATCTTTAAAATTTTATTGTTTATTTTCTTTACCTTGTTCATATAATGTATACATTCTTTTTCTTCTGTCCAGGATGCGGTTTTCTGCAAATCAATCCTCAATGAATTTGCTGTCAAGACAAAAACCACTTGGCCCTCTTACTCTTTAGTTTCTCTCACAAAGCCTTTGACCCTGTTTGCTGCAACTGTGGTATTTGATGGGAATAGCTATACTGGTGAATCTGCACGCAACAAGAAGGATGCAGAGCAGAATGCAGCTCGTGCTGTGATCAAGTCGATTTTAGGTATTTTAGGTTACCTTGATCTTGATTTGAGACCTGGCACCATTGAACCTGTTTGCCTTGTTATCATATATATAACTAGTAATTCAATATGATGTTGCAGCTAAGCACAACACTTGTATGGTGGGAATTGTTAGATCGAAGAAACAACTTATAACTGCCGTCAGATCTTCTGGAAGCACCCCAGCTATTTTTACTCCTATACAGTTTACACGGCCTGTTTCATATGCAGCATACGGTACGTCTCCATTTAACCACACAGGATATGTTTTTTCTATAGTTATTACAGCATGTCTACTATCTTTGCAAGCACAAAAGATCTTCTCAAGCTTACAAGTGTTAAATGTTGCTTGCAGGCGGACCAGATCATGTAGCACCTGTGTTGCAAAATGCATCTTCCTCATTAGCTGTTCAAGGAGGCATCGATGCTGTACCTGCGGTTGGGACATCTGCCAACCCATCATCAGCAAATGTAAGTCGCTCAAAGTCAAAGAAGCGCAAGGCAAGAGTTTAAGGACCAGGAGTCAATGAAACAAGGGTTGCCAAGGGGCAACGCCCTGTTCGCTTGGCTTATAAGCCGTACTTTTTCAGCCAACGAACAATATTTTTCTCTCACAACAAATCAGCCAACAGTACTTTCAGCCATGGCTTATCAGCCAAACGAACAGGGCGAATGGTCAACCTTTAAGCATTTTATTCACCTTGGTATCTCTGCATGTCGTGTTGGTTGCTCAAAGCATTGTACATCGTTGTAGGTTGTTTCTTTTAACCTGAACTTTGACTCGTTGGGATTTGTAACTGCATAACAATTCGGCTGCCTGTGGAGCAATTCGTGCTGTCTAAATAGGGCCTAAATCTATATCTAATAAATGTATATCTCTTATAAAGTAAAACCCCATAGAAGTTCTAAGCTTGCACCACTGCGTTTATGTCATCAGTTGCCTCTCTGTCTTCTCGCTGCATTAGTTTCTACCAAAGATATAATGAATGGTCACGATCTTGAAGAGCCGTGAGCAACTTTGCAGTCCCCCACAACCTCCACGCTCACTTGCACCATTCTTTGACGTTTGCTTTGCCTCCCCTCCGTGGGTTCTTTACCCTCTATATACTCGTGGCAGTGAGCAAGCTGCACTCGAAGGTTAGTTTTGGTCCTGTTCCGATTGGCTTCGTACTGTTGCTTTGCCTTTCTCTCCATGGCGTGCTAGCTGCTGTGTGCTAACATCTAACTTGCTTTTGATAGGAGCTATTATAGATGGTTGTGTTGTGCTGCTGCAGCATCTGGATTTGGCAGCCAGAGTCTACGGATTACCTTCAGTACTCACACTGAGCTCTCATTTTAGTTCGTTGTGGGCTGACAGATTCAATATGCAATATTTTAAATGCATCTATATACTTCTAATTCTCCATGTAGATCGAAGATCCTTCCACCTACTCTGTAAGCCTATCTCTGCTCCATCACGCAGATGAATGGTATCTTCCTCTTCCTCCATGACTGGTAGGCTAGCACATAAGATCCATTTTGAACCCAATTTCTCGTTCCATCCATTATATAATTTTTGCATATTGTAATTTTTCAGACTGCGCTGTAGATTGAAAACAAAAATTCCTAGGGAAGATTTGCTCTGTGATTGAGTTTGATTTCTAGGTTACAGAGATTTATCACTTTTTATTAATAAGCAGGATACACTATAATTTCTCAAATATGATATTGTTATATTCGTTTCTCGATTTCATGTAAATGTGTATTGTTACTTCTGAAAAGAGGTTGATCACATATTCATGAAAGGTTTTTTAAAGCCTAAAAATGGAGATGTAAACTATAATGCTATTTGTTTTACCGTTCCACCATTTTATAATTCAATCTAATATTCTATTAGTTTTTATGAAATCTTTCATTTTTTGACTAATTTTGACCACACCCGATGAAAGAACATATAGGTCAACTCATACATACAATGTAGTTAGTCCTAAGAAAGTCACCCATGCATACACCGGTTTTAAGAAAGACCCGTAGCAACACGAGGGGCATGTACATCCTAGTAACAAAAACAAATAGTTAACAAATCAGAGATGATTGCCCAAGCATCGTAGACAAAAGCTTTTTATTACATTCCATGTTAAAACCAGATTATCTTGGAGTCTTGTCCTAGAGAAAATTCTTGGCTAGGTTGAAAAAGAAAAATGGGATATACTGTTTACTTTACAATCGTATTCGAAAAGCACTGACTGTTTAGCCATTATTTGAGCTAAACAGCCACTTAAATAGACAACGAACGGCCGTTTAAACAATGTGTTTTTAGGAGAACAGTGCAAAAAGGTGATATCATTTATGACCTTTTTTTTTACCATTACAGTATTTTAAATTTCGATTTTCTAATTTCTGTCAAGACTGTATTAATGTTGATATTGAATAGTTATAAAATTGGGAATATGGTGAGCTTCTGATTAACCAGGAATGGTTAATTCAGTCGTATTCCCAGCTGTAATTTCATTTTGTCAACCTCATCCACAAATTTATTACTACAACTTGAATGAAGTCGTTCACTCTAACAGGACTGAAATTATCCTCAACAGTGACTAACTCCATGTCAAGAACAGAAGCATAATTCTGGGTACATGTACATAAAAATTGCTCAGCTACTGGTTAAAAACGTAGCTTAAGAAACTAAGCTGTAATCATTTCCTCTCACTCAGAAGAGCCTCTGTATGTGTCGATCTTGCTGGGTCCAGGACTAACGATTGCAAGAATAACAAGGCCGCTCAACAACACCAGCAGCATTGCCAGAGAGTTCATAAACATGGCTTCTGTGGAGAAGCGCTCAATCATTTTGGCGCTCTGCATAAAGATTGACTTCTCCAGGAGTCCAGTCACACTTGTGGCGATAGCAAGAACATAGATGAATATACCAAAGAAGACATGCCAGGGAAGCAAAAATGCACGGCCACTTCTTGATCCACCAGGGTACCAAAAGGTCCAAAACCCAGCAGCCCACTGCAGAGATTCAAACATAAGGACCAAAGAGGAGAAAATATGAAAAATATAAGAGAATAACTGAACAGAAGAGTTCATATCTCTTAGTCTACCTGCAAGCTGAAGAAGATGAAGCAAGCAAGGCCCAACCATGAGTGAAGTGTATATAAATGGTCAATTTTTCTTTCATCATGGAACTTCCAGACAGCCCAGAGACCAATTAGACTCAAAAACATGGCAAGGAACTGCACAGCAAGGTGCACTAGCTTTTTCAGTTTCTTGGTTCCTGGCACAGTTTTATAGGAAGAGAAAAGAGCTGCATGCAATCGCTCAAAAAAAAAAAACCAATCCACTAAACATCAGTGTTGACCACGTGGGGCACAAAAAAAACAGTAGACAAAGAGGAGAAAAAGAAACTTAAGTTTACATCTACTACATGAAAATTCAAAATGATTTAAATCAATTTTTCTAATCATCAAGGTCAGCCAGAGAAATTTAGCACCAAAATGGTCAGTTTTTGGTGGCACAATGCTATGGCATCAAAAAAGAACAGCTACACCGATTTAAATCAATTTAAATAGGAAATTAGCAAAAATGGGGCCACCCGTTTTAATAGGAAAAAATGGGGCTACCGAAAAAACATTAAAATGTGCCATCCAAATAATTGGATTTGATGGAAATTACATGGAACCTGATTTGATTGGTAATGGTTGGACCTGGGTCAGGTTGTAGGTGTTGGGGTAAAGTAGGTATTTTCTGTTTCGCTTTTCAAGCTTTCTGTATGTGTGTTTACTTGATGATACCACCTAATTTCCTGTTGACTTCAGCAAGAAAAAGATACATAGTATCTAACCTTTCATATTAGCAAGTTGGTTCAATCGGCAATCACAAGTACCAACAAAACAAGAAATTGTTTATGCAAGATGTGATAATGCTAGACTCTTTGTCCCATCTTGGGAAATTAATTAGTTGGATAACATTTCTGAAATTCTGAAACAAAACTCTGCTAATATTGTAGTGAATGATAGTATCATGAAACGATATTCAATATGCAACAATATTGTTCACAGCACAGGAGTAGTCATGTCCTGACCTTCACCATTCAAGGCCACCAAACCAATCAGCATCAACACCGGGTGAACCTGAGAGAGAGGAAGAAATTTTATTTGCTGAAATATCTTTTTAGCAGACTATAAGCATTGTTCCTAGTTTTACTCGTTCCAATCATCAGGAGTCATCTTTTTATCTTTCCTTCCTTTTTTTTTTTTTTTTTTTTTTTTTTTTTTTTTTTGCAGCTAAACATTAGTGGTAGTGGAAGGAACAAAACTTCAATAACTTTTGTAGTACTCCACACAGATCGACCAGTTAGACAATTCACAATGTACTAACACGGATGGAAGGGAATAAAACAGATAGAAACATAAGAACTAAAAAGAGAAAGGGAAAATTGGTTGTGTAGCATCGAAAGATCACGATCTCCGTAAAATACCATCGAAAGTTTGTGTCCTTGTAAAATACCACCAAAAGATTGAACCGTGAACTGAAAATAGCATTCCGTTAAAATAAAGCGATAGAAGTAGACGGGCCTGAAAAAGTAGCCTCTCAAATCACGCCCTTACGGGTTGTTCTCGTGGGCGCCGCCATGAACAGAATGGCTCTGCGGCACCACCGGCACCACGTGCGCAGCGCCGTCTTGCTTGCGACGTCCCTGCTGCCCCGGCTCGCCCCCGTCCGGCCCCGCTTGTGGCGACGCCTCTCCCGATCCCGATCTGTGTGCTCAGAACTGCGTGGGATGGAGGAGGAGGAGGAGGGCCCCCGCAGTGGGACGTCCTCAACCGCGCTCCCGGCGACATCAAAGCGCGGCGGCCGCGCCTCTCTCTCGCGCCGCTTCCACGAGCTTGTCTTTGCTCGTCGACTCGTCTTCGTCGTCGCGTCCGATGCGTCATCTCGGCGACCGCCGCCCTCCTCCTCCTCCTCCTGCTGTACGCGCCCCCGCCGCACCAGCGCTAAGCTGGCGTGGCGCGTTAAATGCACATCACGCGCGTCGGTCGGGCGGCATCGCCACGCGCCGCGGCCATATATCTCCTCCCCCATGGCGAAGCGCTCTCTGGCGCTCCGAGCCATCGCCGCTTTGCCGCGGACGTCTCCACCGATCCACCACTCGCGCTCCGAGGTTCTCTCTTTCGGCTGCGGTGCCTCCACATCGCCGGGCAGCGATGGCGTGCTCCTAAAGTGGAAGGCCGACTTGGCTCCACCCTCGGCGGTATGTCATCCTCGGCGCCTCGTCGGTCTTGTCCAAGCCGCCGAGCAGGCCATGGTCCCGAAAGCAATGGCGAAAGCGCGCGTTGCTGCCGGCGGCTGGAACACGCTAAGTAGCGGTAAAGAGCGGCGATTCTCTGACCCGCGTCTGGCGCGTGCTCCTATAGTCCTATCTGGCAAGGACGTGTGCAAGCACAACCTGCGGGCGCTGCACGTGGTGGCGGGGTGCCGCACCATTCCTGTTCGTGGCGAGCATCTGCGACAACATCGCGTACGGGCGCGATGGAGGCTTCCGTCACTCCCGTGACTTCATTTTAACAGAATGCTACTCTCAGTTCACGATTCAATCTTTCAGTGGTATTTTATGAAGCGCCAAACTTTCGGTGGTGTTTTACGGAGATCGCGATCTTTGGATGCTACACACCCAATTTTCCCAAAGAGAAATGCTATTCATCTGTGGACATTACACTAAATCATCTGTGGACATTACACTAAAGAGAAATGCTATTCATCTGTGGACATTTTACACTGCAGAAGAAAACGTGTAAACAAGGAACTTTCTTCTCTGAATTAGCAGATATAACCAAAGAACTCACCACTCCTCCGGCCAAAAATTCGTACCTATGCTAAAACTCTCCACCGATTATGCGATTACCAAACCGTGGGCACAAAGATTCCTCTTAAACCTCTACAAAATTTGCAATTACTACCCATCACATAGCATGTTCTAGTTGACCAGACAACCAACAACTCTGCCGCACGGAAAACGCACGATCCGATTGTTGAAGAGTCAATCAAACGCTCCCACGCCATAGACACCAAGATCAACACTTGATCCGCTGCTGCAAAACGAGATAGCGGAAGAATAATCGGAAGGAGGCGAGGGAAGTTTTGTTTTTGGTGTCCCTTACGTTGAAGAGGGGGAGCTTGCTCTCCTCGTCGGTGGAGAGCGCCATGCCGCCGCGGAAGTGGACGGCCCAGAAGAGGATGCCCGCCGCGGCGGCCAAGCCCAGCAGCCGCACGAGCCCGAAGACCGGGAACCTTACCGCCGGCGCCGCCGCCATCACCTCCGGTGGCGGGATCGGGAGATCGAACGAGCGGGCGATAGGAACGGAGCGGGGACTGGGTGCCGTTTCAATCAAGCACGCGAAGACGCTGAAGTCATTTCAGATCGGACTTGAACACGAACTGATTAGAAAGACGTTTTCCTTCGGTAGAGGTGGATTCCAGTCTACCTCTGTCTAGTTTAAGAGCATCACCCGCTTGACCCAATATTTTCTTTTCTAAAAACATAGATTTTTATAACTTCTAAAAAAGTATTAGAAGAATAAAAAAGGCTATCTTCAAGAGTTTCTAATAATCTACTTCTAAAATATACTCTCTCCGTCCCAAAAAGAATGACGTTTTTTACTTTCAAACATTGTGTTTGACCGTTCATCTTATTCAAATATTTTATATAAATTATAAAATAAATAAATCATTATTAAAGTATCTCTAATGATAAAATAAGTCGTAACAAAATAAATGATATTTATATAAAACATTTGAATAAGACGGATGGTCAAATAAGATGTCTGAAAAGTAAAAAACGACACTTTTTTTTTGGACGGAGGGAGTAGAAGACAATTTTACATCATGAATCCTATACTATTTCTAAATTATCCTAACCACTTTTTTTATTCTTTCTCTCTTATACATTTGCATCAGAAACCATTTCTTACTCTTTATTCTTTCCACGTCCTTCCACCTTTAGATTGGCCGATAAACACGCAGGAGAGAGAAGATACGTGTGACTCGGAAGCGCGTAACTTTACGTGAAATAGGGTGACTTTTTTCTAAGTTCTAAAAGATTAGGAGTTGTTGGAGAGATTTTTTTTAATTTTATTAAAAACCAAGGATTATAAAGAGATTTAGGAAACTTTTAGAGATGCTCTAGAAAGCAAGGGCTATGGCTCGGTTCCGAGAGTAGCAACGAGGACAGGGGACCTTTTAAAAAAGACGAGGAGAGGGGAGGGGACAACAGTGTTGACTGTTGAGTGTTTTTGAGATTGTCTAAGGTCAATTATTTTGAGTTTCTATCTTTTATCAGAAGGCCTAGCGCCTGGACGCCGGGGACGGGCTCGACACTGCGCAAGAACTCCCACGTCTGCATCCGCGCGTCCGCCTCGATCAAAGCGCCGGGTCCGTCCGTGCAGACCCTGCCAGGCCACCCCACGCCCATCGGGAAACCAACGTGGGTTGACCCCAGTGCGCTGCGCCTCAAAGAAGCAATGACGACCACCACCGCCACGCCGTGCAACGTCCCCAATTTACTTTTGCAACATCTAGATAAAACTTTTGCAATATACGTCTCAAACAGATGAAACATTTGGAACATACAGTTGAAACATCATTGCAACATGTCTGCATGAAACATATGCAACATCCCGATCCACTTTTGCAATATCTGCATGAAATAATCGAAACATACATCTGAAACAAATGAAACACTTGAAACAAGAGCTTGCAACATGTCTGAAAAGTGTCCAGAAACACTAGAAACACAGCATCGCCACGCGGCTATGACCTACCTGGTGGGCAACTGCGGTGGCCCAGGCCCGCTGGATGGCGCGTGCCCACTCACCCCGCCATGTCTGTCGTCGGCTGATGGAGAGGAGACGCTGTCGGATCTACGGAGGGCGCCGCCGACCGAGGTAGGGGAGGGTCAGCGACTTCCTTGATCCCGCCGGTCGCGCACCAACTGCTTGCTTGAGCCCACCGGCCAGATCCGGAGGGACGCGGGGGAGGGTCGCGGCCGCCATGGAGTGGGGGGTGGGGACGCCATGGAGGCCGCTAGACTTGAGGAAAGACGCACGTGGAAGAGGGGTGCCACTGGATCCATGGGGGAGAGAAGGAGAGGACGCCATGGTGCTCGCAGCGATGATTTTTTTATGAAGAATGGCGACACCAGGGTCCATTCTAGAGCGGGTGAGAGGCTACGGTTATTGGGCCATATGGGGACGGGGCACAGTGCGGGCAGCAGAGTCTGTTCTAGAGTGGGCGACTCGGGTGGGGTCTGTCCGGACGGACTGGCGACCGAACAGGAGCATTATCGATCTTTTATGATTGGTGCATTTTGCTATAGGACATGTAAGTTGAGTTGTGGGATTTCGTTAGCCATAATGATAAAGAAGAATCATTATTTGAAAAAAAGTAATAAGTAATAAAAAAAAGCAAAGCCATTTCGTCCCGCAACTATCACCCAATTCTCAATTTTGTTCCTAACCCACCAAAAGTGATAGTCTTTTAAGTTAAATTTTGTCTTTGAATGATCAAAATGACAATTTAGTCGTCAACATTTACTTTTAGGCTCAATTTATTAATAATTATTAAAGTGATCATTTCAGTCATCAAACTTTTTAGCTCAATTCATCTATGAACTATTAAGAGCATCTCCAAGAGACTCTCGGTATCTTTTCTAAATGCTAGGAATAGAGATTTTGGTAAAAAATTACCCTTCAACAACTTCTCTAAATAGTTATTGAAATATAGCCATCTTCTACTCCGGATTTTTTGCTAGACAAAAATAGAAGACGAGAATGACTCTCTAGAGTGTGCATGAGATACAGAAAAACTATTGGAGACTGAAAATATATAGAAAACAATTTTTATGCAAATGACTCTCCAAATGATGATTTAGAGAGTGAGATTTAGAAAGGCTCTCGGAGATGCTCTAAAGCGGCCATTTCAGCTATCAAACATTTTTTGAGCCTCATCGTTGCTCCTCAACATCCAACGTGGCACACCACATTGTTATGCATCTTTAGCTCCAGCATCACCGCAAGCGCAGGTGGATGGTACACTTTGAGAGGACTGTGGGCCTTGACAAAGCCATAGACACAGAGGTTGGGATATGTGTGGTGAAGCAGCTAGGTCTAGTGACCATAGATGGCGCACACAGTTTTTTTTTGAGATCGTGTCTGGGCACATTTTTCATTAAGCAGGAGTAGAAAGTTTTGTTACAAAACTATCAAGTTACAGTAATCCAAAGGTTACCGAAACCCATAGCCCACACCTCTCACACTTCTCATATGTGGTTGTGATTACACAAGATACTAATTTACGACTAAGACAAGGATACACCTCAAACCTCGTCCATCCCGACCATATCAAATTCATGGCCATCGGGTCAAATTCCCCACCGAAAAGGAGCTATAGCGCCTCCTACTTGGAGGCCGATAACGACGCCTGGAAGGTTGATTTGTACTTGCGCACCATCTCAGAGTCGACGTTGGGCAAGCTTGCTACGACTCCCAGCTTCTGCATGAGCACGCGCTAAGCCTGCTTGGTGGAGTCCGTCTCTCGTGGCTTCGCTGCAAGGCGGTCATTGCGCCACAGCGACTAAACGGAGACCGGCGTCCTGGGCCTACATAGCCTAGGTGGCCCGTGGATGAGGGATGTCTGCAACGGAAGGCAAAGCCGCGCCTCCAGCGTTTCATGAAGCGTAGGGGATATAGGCCTCGGCGACGCTGGCCGACTGAAAACTCTAGTTTGGTTCTGGTGAATTGATGAAACCCTAAGTGCTAACCTAGTTTATCAAGTGATCATGAGATAGGTAGCACACTCCAAGTTGTGAAGCAAACAAAGATCATAGCATGATGAAGATGATGCCATGGTAATGATCAAGTGCTCGGACTTGGAAATAAGAAAGAGAAAAACAAAAGCTCAAGGCAAAGGTATAAACCATAGGAGCTATTTTGTTTTGGTGATCAAGACACTTAGAGAGTGTGATCACATTTAGGGTTGATAGCCGTACTATTAAGAGGGGTGAAACTCGTATCGGAATGCGGTTATCAAAGTGCCACTAGATGCTCTAATTCATTACATATGCATTTAGGATATAGTGGAGTGCTAACACCCTTGAAAATATTTGTGAAAATATGCTAACACATGTGCACAAGGTGATACACTTGGTGGTTAGCACATTTGAGCAAGGGTGGAGAAGTTAGAAGTAAAAACGAGTTAGTGTCGCTGGTTATACAGTGATCGGACGCTGGACCTCTGAGGGACCGGCGCGTCCGGTCATGTGTAACAGTGAGATGCTGGCGTCGGTCTATTGACCGGACGTTGGGTCGCTCGGCGACCGGACGCTAAAGGGCTGTGTCCGGTCAAGTGGTCGGTCTGCACAACGCTTAGGATTAAGCATCGGACGCTGGGTTGTGTCCGGTCAGGCATGACCGGACGCGTCTGGTCGATAAAAATTGGTTCTAGACTCTTACTGGAAACGACCGGACGCTGAGGGTCCAGCGTCCGGTCAGCTGACCAGAGCGTCCGTTCGGGCACGGCAGATGACCGTTGGAGTCAGACATGTGGCTGAATACGAGCGACCAAACGCTGGGGTCTCAGCGTCCGGTCAACTGACCGGAGCATCCGGTCAGCCCACGTTATGCCCAGCGAAGGGGTATAACGGCTATATTTCGTGGGGGCTTCTATTTAAGCCCCATGGCCAGCTATAGCCCACATCTTTGGCCATTTTCATTGACATAGCAACCTTGTGAGCTTAGCCAAAGCCCTTCCACTCATCTCCATCATTGATTCATCATCATAATGAGATTGGGAGTGAATCCCAGTGCATTGCTTGAGTGATTGCATCTAGAGGCACTTGGTGTTCGTGTTTCGCTGTGGGTTTCGCTTGTTACTCTTGTTGGTTGCCGCCACCTAGACAGCTTGGAGCAGTGAGGATCGTTGAGCGGAGGGCGGTGATTGTCTCCGGCTCCGATCATGGTGATTATGAGGGGTTCTTGACCTTTCCCCGGCGGAGCGCCAAAAGGTACTCTAGTGGATTGCTCGTGGCTTGTGTGATCCTCATCTTGTGTTGGTTGTGCGGCACCCTATTGAGGGTTTGGCGTGTGAAGCCAATTAGCGCGTGAACCTCCAAGTGAGTGTATCGCCACAACGAGGACTAGCTTGTTGGCAAGCAAGTGAACCTCGGTAAAAATCATTGTGTTGATCATATTGATTCCGAGGTGATTGGTATTCATTGTTATCCACACTTGTGATTGATTGGTTCATACATCTACATGGC